GTTCAGTTTCTTTCTTAATTGATATACTAGGGGCGATCTGGGTGTCATAGATACTACCATTAAACGAATCAAATGTCTATGCAAACAATGTGCGAGCTTACTCGACATGGTTGTTGACTGTGCTACCTTCCACGGGATGCGGAGGTCGCACCCCGCACTTCAGATGCCCAGTTCCCAACACGACACTCCACTTGTTTCTTCCCGTATCTAGCATGGCAGAACCTCTACCTTTCGTTTACGATCCGTTACCCGCAGGCTCTATTCGCCTTCTCACTCCCGCCTCCAGCGAAACCGCCTATGGCCACACGTGGAAAATACAAACAGTTGGCCTCGCTCAGTCCGACTTGGAATTCGATGCGCTCTCTTATGTTTGGGGCTCTGCGTCGGAACTGCTCAACATTCGTCTGAACGGCTGCGCAGCGCAAGTGCATCGTAATTTGTACACTGCACTACCGTATCTTGCACGCCGCGACAATGCTACGCCAGTGCGGCCGATTTGGATCGACGCCATCTGCATCAACCAGGCAGACCACATGGAGAAGATGGTGCAGATCCGGGAAATGAACCGGGTGTATAGACAAGCGAAGAAGATCTGGGTATGGCTCGGAACTACAGCGCATCAAGAACACATTCCCGAAGCCATTCACTTTCTTCGACGTGTCTCTGATGAAAGGCACGGCAAACCGGGAAAATATGTCGATGAACTCGTACAGAGAAACTTCGACACCTTGGATGTTTCATTGAAAGCCGCACTCCATCATATCATCCTCAATGCCTGGTTTGGAAGGCTTTGGATTGTACAAGAGGCAACTTTGGCGCGAAAGATAAGTTTTCTTTGCGGGGACAGCAAGCTAAGCTGGACACTTATGAGGACGTCCATCAAAGACGGACGGCTCCTTTGGGCCCTCCAGGATGATCTTCCCACATATGAGCATCTCTTACATCTATCCGATGGATTTACATGCGTTGAAACGAGATCATCACGACAAGATGGAACGGTATTCTATCTACGAACTACGGTGAATACGGCTTGGAACTGGAAAGGGCCTGCTGCAGACAGCTATCAGGCCAACGTTCTGGCATTCGCCATGTTGATTACCCAACAACAACAGTACCTCAGGCCTGAGGATCGCATTCTGGGGTTGTTAGGGTTGATTGATCCGAAATATCTAAAAGATACCTATCTCGATTCAAACATCGCTTATGTCTCGGTGGAAGACTTATTCACTCGATTTACCAAATTCATACTGGAGACAGCTTGGAAGCAGGGAAGCAGTTTCCTATGGGGATGGTTCAGCTGGGCATTCAGAATTGATGAGCGAAAGCATCTACCGTCTTGGGTACCAGATTTCCTCGACTGCGAGCGTTTGCATCTACATATGGACGCCAGCCACAGAAGAACGTCTCGGTACGCACGTATGAAACGATACCACCGGTTGCTAGGCGGCTCGAGACTAGAGCAGCTGGTGTTGACAGGGCAGGTACTCGATGATGTCGTGAGGGTGTTTCCGATGATGCCTTCTCCTAGCCCGACACTACATCCGTCACATGAGCCTGAATCAGAAGAGAGAGACTACCTGATAAGTATCGCTAAGTGGGAAGAGACGCTCGCTCATCATACGCTGGGGCGCACATGTACAAGTGGTGAGGAACGGCCACAAGTAGAAGTCAGAGACAAAGACACCCTCGAAGAATACTGGCGTATGCTGGTCGATCAACAAGAGTGTTATCGATACGAGACGATAACGCAAGATTGGTATCTTGACTTTCGGGCGTTGGGACAACAGCTGAGAAGAACCACCACTGGTATAATCACCCAAAGGTAGGCCATCCCTCCTAATATTAGTCGATATATTCATGCTCTGCAGAAACAACACAAACATTACAGGTGCGCTTTCTCACAGTCTTCTGGAGGATTCCGAACAGGTCTTCAGTACAGCACACCGACATGAAAATGCGTACAAATTCTTGGCGGCCATGTGCACGGTCTCCCAAAAGCAGTTCTTTGAAACCAAAGAAGGCCATTTCAGCTCAACGACGCAGGGTGTAAGACCAGGTGACTTGCTAGTCGCACTAAATGGAGCGCCGATACTACACGTCATCAGAAAGAATACTGCTGTCGGGAACAATGAACCAGAGACATGGAAGTTTGTGGGGGAGGCATATCTGCCTGAAACTGTGTACGAGGACGAGCCGCGGAGCCGTCCAAGATTGGACTTTATAACGTATAGAAAGGACATAGATGATGAAGACACGGAAGATGAAGATGATGAGGAAGAAGACACGAAGGGAACACTCGGAGAATCTGATGAAGAATTTAGTAGGAGGATGGGAGAGAGGAATGTAGAAGGAAGAGACTTCATATTCGTATAGGTAGATCAAGGATGATCCAAGTGATCAAAGCTTTGATGCTCCATTGCTAGAAAGATATCTAAACGGTCAGAACTCGTGTGGCAGTTCTCAGGGCCCGGAAAACCCAAATGTGAATGATTAGTATCTAGTCTGGAAGGTGATATCAGTAGTGAAGCGTTGGTAGGGGAGGTGATTGTATGTCTGCCAAATGGTACCTGCAGTGACGCCCCCGCGCTAACCCCACCCACGAAGGCACGTGCACTGAACTTTCAGAACGCCGCTACGATTTCCCTCCCCACTCACATCCCAATCCTCCACCCTCTTCCTGTGAAGGCATGTTATGCTTCGAACCCTATCACGATCGATAACACGAGTCATGGCTTCCAACGAGCCCGCCCGCGTCCCTATCCCCAAGAATGGCGTCGACTACCGTGGCAAAGTGGTGCTTGCGCCCATGGTGCGCTCCGGCGAATTGCCCTCACGCCTCCTCGCACTGAAGTACGGCGCCGACCTGGTCTGGGGACCCGAGACCATCGATCGCGCCATGATTGGCACCACGAAGCGATTGAACCCGCACACGAATACCCTTGAGTTCTCGCGCCTGCCGACTTCGAAGATCAAAAATCCCACCCTCGATCCCGAGAATCGCGAAAGCGTTCTATACCGCATACATCCGGAGCTGGAGAAGGGAAAGCTCATATACCAGATTGGTACGGCAAATCCGGAGTTGGCAGTTCAGGCAGCCAAGATGGTCGCAGCGGATGTTGCAGGCATTGATGTCAATTCTGGCTGCCCCAAGCCATTCTCGACTTCCGGCGGCATGGGCGCAGCCTTGCTCAAGACACCAGACCTGCTTTGTAACATCCTGACGAGTCTCGTGGAAGAAGTGGGAAAGCCATTCGAGATCGGCATCAGCGTCAAGATCAGGATTCTGGACACGCCAGAAGAGACGGCAGCATTGGTGAAGAGACTGGTGCGCACCGGCATCACGGGTCTCACGGTGCACTGTCGAACCACACCCATGCGACCCAGAGAGCGCGCGATTCGAGACCAGCTCAAGATGATCGGAGAGATATGCCACGAAGCAGGCGTCGCATGCCTGATGAACGGCGACGTCACATCGCGCACCGAAGCCCTCAAACTCGCGGAAGAGTTTAACGTCGACGGCGCAATGATCGCAACCGCAGCCGAGAAGAACCCCAGCGTGTTCCGACCCGACTCAGAAGGCGGGCCACACGAGTGGAAGTCGCAGTGGAAGACCGTTGTTACCGAATACATGCGTTTCGCGCTACAGGTAGAGAACCGGTGGGGGAACACAAAGTATCTGCTCAGTCAGATGATACCAGGGAAGGAGAAAGCGTATCAGGCGATGAACAAGTCAAAGTGCTACACGGACTGCATCAAGGCGCTGGGTCTGGAGAACTTTGACGACTTGCTACAGCAGGCCAACGTTGTTGACGAGCATCTCGGCATACCGCAGAACGAATCGCGCGCTTCTAAGCGCGCTCGGGTCAAGGAAGCAGCAAATCCAGAAAGCGATGCTGTCGAGCGGAAGGAGAAGCGCAAGGAACGGGATGATGACGAGCCTGAGGCCAAGCGCGTCAAGGTGCCTGAAGTCGAGCCAGAAGCAACTGTGGCCATCCCACCGCAGGAGATGGCGGCTCCTGCTGCGTTGAGCGTATGAAATATGTAGAGATTTATGGGCTGGGCGTGTATCTGTTTGGGCATTGCAGGCGTATTGAGCATTTACGAAAGTGTGGGGTTCCCATCGGTAGTATGCAGCCATGATATTGGACAACGAATTGATATGAATACATACATTACTGTGACTGCGATGCACCATATGTGTTCAAACGACTAACAAAGTCCCCGAGCAGTTACGTCGCGTCGCTGATGTACTGAACGATGGCACGCGAAGGCCTTCAGGATTCGGTACTAGGGTCTGCTCGTGACGGCTAGCACCACGCTAGACAGCCCCACTGCTGCGGAGGTACTGTGCCACCTACTTCGCTACTCTTCAATGTCAACTTTAACTTTTCGCCCTTATACTTAATATCCTTAGGATACAGAAAGGGCATTCCAGGACCGACAATGGCCGCATCTACAGACGCGGTTATGGCAGACATCGGCGATGATAGAGCGCACCTTGGCAGTCTACCGAACGAGCTACTAAACCTCATTACAGACTTGGTGGTCGCTGGTGGCACGCCAATGGCGGTGATGCGACTGGTGAACAAGCGATTCAAAGCATGTGCCCAATCACACCTCGTCGAGTCTCTTCAAGCAAAGGTATGTACATCGCCAGCTTCGACGCAAGGACAAGTTGCGCCGGGAGCGAGATGGCATCTAGTACGATCGGCACAGCTGACATTGATATCTTACCATAGGCTTGGGATATTCGTAGTCCCCATGATCTTCGTTCGTTGAGTGAAATCAGCAAGGTGGATGCCTTAGCCCAGGCGATCAAGTCTCTTCGCATGACTTGCTGTTATGAAGATTATCACGAAAATCCTGTCGCTCTCAGAGACGAAGCAAATCATCGACATAATAATGCAGTCAAAGAGGGACAAGAACGTACGTTATCGGCTCAGGACAGATTCCGGATGCAACGCAGAACCGCCCTATTGGAGAGGTTCGCGCACGCTTCAATGCTTTCAGAAGAGATGGAAGACCACAGATTAGCTGGGAGTAGGAACTACGCACAAAACCTCTTTCCCGAGTCCTCTTCAGAGATGAACGTGGGTTGGCTGAGAACAATAGTTCTACCTGATCTGGAGTCGCGCTGGGAGAAATTGAAAGAGGAAAACAAGTCCATCTTCGGCAACGTATGGACCTCTTCCATCGTATCCCCCAGATTGTACGGGGCGCATTACGACGCCGTCGCCGAATACGTCTTAGCAAAAGAGGGGTTGATAACCACCATCGCGAAAAGCTTGGCTCCATTTAAGCAATTACATACTTTCGCCTTCGTCGAACCCGAGATCGATACCTGGACCCGTTACGAAACGCTGTTCAAGGAAGTTGGTGAAGAGCACGGCCGCTTGCAGGGATGCAGGAGCCCTTACGCCAGGGGCTCAAAGAGAGACGCAAACTCGGAGGCCGTCGCCTACAACGGGATGATGATCGGCCTTGACGTTGCACTTCGAGCTCTCCAGCGAGCCGAAATCCACCCGACAAGCTTCGCAATGCCAGTACCTTCCATTGTATTCCAATCCTTCAAGACCTCCGTCTCGAAGTACGTTTTGTACGAGGTTCTTACACAAACAAACAAGCTGTGTCTCAACCACCCATCGTTGAGATTCCTACGTATTGCAAGTAGTATCGACGACAGACCCACCTTTGCAAATACCTTCGGGTCATCTCCCCCACCACTTCACACCGAAATACTCTTAACAAATGATAGCTTCCCCAGCCTACGCGACCTGACTTTGAATTTTAACCAGGTCAGATCTGAGAACGAGCCGGGTCCAGACATCCCGGACGGGAAGGCAGCAGAAATTGAATCCCTAACCATTCGATACGATCCCCGATTCGAAGCCTCGGCAAATGGTATTCTATGGCACGAAGACTGTTTGAGCCACTTCCATCAGAGTCTCAAACACCTGACTATTGTCAACGCTTTTTGCGGCAACTGGAACAACTTCTTCCGCGACATCTCAAAGGCTCAGCTCGAGACATTGGATATTGTGATTGAGGATGATGTTCTCGGCATGGTTAGGACTAAAGTGCCGTCGTATGACGACGTGGAGAATGGGTTGGTGTGTGTTCAGGAGCGGTTTAAGAAGGCCGCGGAGAAGGTGGAGGTCAGACCGGATTGGGTTTTCGATCTTGTGAAGCGGGTGTGGAAAAATCAGGATGATATTGTTGATCGGTTGTTGGAGGATAGCGATGAGGAGGGTTCGTTTGATTGGGAAGAGGATGATGATGACGATGAGGAAGACGAGGTTGAAGGATGAGAGCACAGCATACGTAGATGAGGTTCAAACGCTTGGGATACGGGGTAGATTCAATAGCAATTGATGTACGCACTTGAATTGCAACAGGGCGACCAACTGGGACAGTTGGTCAACAAGTGTATTGTACAGAATCAAAAGTCCGGGTATCAACATGTACATCCTAGCATCGTATACCTCCAGGCAAGTACCACTACTACAAAGGAAAGCGCACTCCAAGATATGCCGCAAGGATATCGCCAACGTGAAAGCTATAAAATATCAAAGAAGTAAAAAAGAAGAAGATCTAGTATAAACAAAAAGAGAAGTCGTGAAAATCTCAAGAAAAGAGAACGTCAACCTCTCACAACCCATCCATCAACCTCGTCAACGCCAACCAATCCGCCAACTCCCCCCCACTCTCCCTCTGAACCACCTTCGGACTACTTAACTTCTCATTCACAATCTCCAAATCCAAAATTCCCATCACACTACTACTACTCCTACTTCCCCGCCTCTCACTCAACCCACTATCCACTCTCGCCGCAGTCGTGCGCCGCTGTATCGCCGCCGGCAACGCGATAACAGGCCGTGTTGGGTCCATCATGTTGTTGAATTCCGTGCTGAAGAAGTCGGGGCTGGCGAGGATGTGGGGGGAAGGGATGGCGCGGTTGGTGATGACGGGGGGTGGCGTGAGGTCGGAGTTTGGGTGAGGTTGGGACTTGGTGGGTGGTGTGTTGATGCGGAGGCGGAGGAGGGATGCTTGTTTTGGTTTGGGGAGGGTATCTGAAGGGAGTTGTGGGGTCGCAGCTTTGGACTTGTTGAAGAAGAGGGAGGTCTTCCGGGAGAGGAAGGAGGGTTTGCGAGTTGTGGGTTGTGGTGGTGATGTGGGCATTGGGGCGGGGAGGGACTGTTGTTGGTGTTGTTGCTGGGGGAGACGTTGGGCTGCGGCTTCTTCGTTGGCTTTTTGGATGCGGACGCGCGCATCTTGCTCTTGTTGGAGCTTTGCTTTCGCTTCGTCATCTTTTAGCTGCTGGACCTTGGCTTCGTGGGCGGCTGTTGCTTCGATGCGGTTCCGTTGGTCTTGTTCGTCTTTTTGCTCCTTCTCTTCGGCTTCTTTGAGCATGGCTACGATTAGGCTCCGACCTTCCTCGGAATAGTTGTCGCCTACACATGCCATGGGTGTTAGGCCTGCCACGTTCTTTACATTTGCTTTGGCGCCTTCAAGGAGGAGGGAGGAGGCAATCTTGTCATTGCCACCGACAGCTGCGGCGTGCAAGGGTGTGTTGTTCTCTACATCGAGCGTGTCCATGCGGGCGCCGCTCCGAAGCAACAAGTTCAAGATCTCCCAATCCCCACCTTCAGCGGCCATGAAGAGTGGTGTTCGTCCCTTGTTGTCGAGACTGTTCACGTCCGCCCCGTGCAGCAGGAACTCTTGCACCACATCAAAGCGATGCGCCACAACCGCCGAGTGAAGTGGTAAGCGGCCGTTGGAAAACGGAGATGCGATAGTAAGCTGCGCACCCTTCACTACCAGCAGCATCAGGACATCCAATGCGACTTCCGGGCACTCTTCAAGCAAGAAGGTGAGAGGATGCTGCGTCAGAACAGAGGTCTGCGTTGACTCTGGCGCAGACTGTGGCGACGACGAACGCATTGAGCTTCGAGGAATGCCCGCGTTCGGGTTCGCACCTCCATCAAGAACCACATTGAGTATGCTCAAGACGTACTCCGCGGGCATTGGAGGTTGAAGAGTAATGTGGCGAAGGACCGCGCATATCAAAGAGACGCCCAGGGCTGATCGCGGTAAAGCATTCACATCCAAACCCATCGCGACCATCTGCTCAAGGTCCTTGACAGGCAACGTCGTGGAGAAAGACGAGACTTCCGCAACAGGATTGCTAGGCCGTCTTCGCAGTAACCCTGCGCGCTTCATCCACTCGTACTGCGCAAAAAGCTTTAGAATTCGCTTATCGGCCTCCACCGAAAGCTGCAACTTGCTCTTGGCAGGCACCCAGTCTTCAAAGTCGAATGTGGCACCATGCTTGAGCAGCGCATCTACGAAGATGGGCTTGCCTGTCGTCACCGCGTAGAACAGCGCATCTTGCTTCTTGTGATCTTCGTGGTTGACGCAGTTCCGACTCGCTTTGCGGTCCGCCTTCTGTGCTAGCAAGGCCTCGATCACAGGTAAACCGTCTTCGGGAAGTGTCTTGATGGCAAGGATGAGTGGGGTAGCACCCGATCGCTCGCGTGTAGTCCGGCTGACGCCGCGATCGCAGAAGGGGCCAACGATGGCGGCGATGTCGTTCCATGTCGCCGGCGCTTTGGGTACAGTGCAAGCAATGAGATGGAGAGGACTCATGCCGTCTTCATCCCAGGAGTTGATGCTCGGTGGTATCGTGAGCAGTGGTACGATGGACCATTGGTGATGCTTTACGGCAAGAAGAAGCGGCGTGTTCTTGTCCTTGTCGCCGATGGCGGTGTTTGCCCGGGCTCGTAGTAATGACTGCACAGTCGCCTCCAATCCATTGGATGCGGCAAGATGCAGCGCTGTTTGTCCGTTCATGTTGGTCTTGCGGAGGTCAGATGCCTTGATGAGCGACTCCAGATCTGGCTCCTGGTCTTTTGTACTGTTCGTTGTAGCATTGAGCAAAGGCGTGAGCTCTTCAGCATTAGTAAGATCTGCGTTTGCTCTTTGTCTTAGCAACAGCTCTGTGCAGACTCTACTGTGCGTTGCGAGATGGAGAGGCGTGTCGCCGTCTTGGTCCCTCGCGTTGACCTCAGCGCCAGCGTCGATGAGCTGAAGCGCGATTTTAGGATGGCTGAAACGAGGAGATACGGCATGATGAAGCAGTGTCTTGCCGTCCGGGTATGTCACTGTTGCGTCAGCGCCCTGCTCAAGCAGAGCACCCAGAATGATAGACATGGTCTCCTTCTCTTGGGCTAGTGGGCTCTCGAAGGTGGCCTGGAGTACAGTAAGGCCCTTTCTGTCGCGGATGGTGAGATCCGGGTTGCGCTTCAGTAGTGCACTTATTACTGGCGCACCGGCACATTCCAATGCGACGAAGATGGGACGAAGGCCGTTGGCTGTCTCGCGATCGGGATCCGAGCCTTTCTCTAGAAACATCTCCACCAAGCTCGCGTCATCTCTCTTGATGGCCTCCACAAGGACGTTGGACTCTGAATCGCAAGCTGCGGCGAAGATATCCGCGATGAGGTCATTGCCTACGGAGAAACGGCCCTGTGTCTTCTTCACGTGCTTCAGCAACATCTCCCTCTCCTTCTCCAGCTTGTTGCGCTTGCCATGTGCGGCGTTGATGATCGCTACGGCGCCTTGTATGTTGTTGGCGTGTAAGGCGGCTTCGGCGGGCGTCTGGCCGAGACCGTTGAGCGCTTCGTAGCTAGCGCCATGTTTGAGCAAAGTCATGACTGTGGCTAACGATCCGGACTTTGAAGCTGCGTAGTGTAGGGGTGTCTCGCCGGTGTCGTTCGTCTTCGTCTCGAGGCTGGGTCCGTATGGGATCAAAAGTTCGATGAGATCGCTGCGGCCATTCTTGACGGCTATGTGAAGGGCTGTTTCGCCGCTGGTCTTGATCACAGCATCGGCATCGGCACCAGCATCTAACAGTATTCTCGCCAGACTCGCGTAGCCGTTGGCGATGGCGATGCATAACGGTGGGAGTCCCAAGCCAGCGACATCATTCGGTGTTGCGCCCGCGCGTAGGAAATGTGAAAGCGCTGCCTCGCGTTGGTGGTAGACAGCATAGTATATCGGTGTCCAATCTTTCGATGGCTTGAACTCGCCAGCACCCTCCGGTGATCCCGCTGGCTTCCCGAACTTGCATCTCATAACCTCCACCGAAGTTTGCAGTGTTGAACCCTTTCGTTTCAACGCAGTCGGTCTCGTTGTGTCCCGATCCAGATCAAGGTCGATATTGCGGGGAATTGGGGGCTCCATGTCGCTTGAGTATCTGCTAGTAAGGCAACCGCAAGACTTAGATTTCATGCTCGCGAACCTTACATCAAGGCCTGATAAAGCAGACAATCAAGGGTTCAGGATAGCGACAAAAGAAAATATGCAGGGTAAGGAAAAGCATCCGGGTACCCACCACAGAAGAAAGCTACAAGAGCGACAGGAGCTTGACAAGTACGCTCCCCACCTTTCCCCTTCTTTTTGCCAAATTGGAGGAGCTGAAATCGTGGCGCGCCCACGAATCAAGTCATTCTCGTCGCGGTTGTCGTGCCATTTCGCCTTGCTTACCGCTAGGAGCCATGGTTCAATTACCAATAACGGGTGCCTTGTCGTGCTACAAACCTAATCGCGCCTCTATGTAGTCCCGAAACGGGTAGCTAGGTGCCTGGATTCAGTCGACGGCAGATGTACGACTCGCATTTTCGCGGAACGGTACGCCTGGGACGATCGCCGCAGCGCTTCCCTGCAAGCTACAGCGCTTGCTGTCAATCATCTCAGAAGGAATCCCAGAGGCGTTGTACAGTTGTCTTTTCGCTTGGCTTGCTCGCGACGGTCCGCGAATGACGGAGACGCTACTAACTATAGAGGGGCAATGGCGCGGTGCAGATCTTGCTGTTGGACGCTGCAAGCCAATGCGTCGTGACGGCGATGGACGCGAGGCGGAACAACAAGCAAAGTCAATGGCGACGGAGGACGCGATACTTTCGCGCTCGATGTTCGGAGGGAGGTGCGCCCGGTGCTGCTTGCGGCGTTTCGCTAGCCGACCCACGTGTTTGTAGCTGGATTGGCTCAGGGGTAAAGTGGCCTCCATCGCCTCGCTATTGCGCGCCGTCGTCCTTGGCCAAGCAGACGGCGCCAATGCTACGGGTACAATGTTTCCGCAACAATGTTGTCGAGTGTGCAGGCGTTTATTGAGTGGAGATTGGACGAAAAGTCGAATTCTGGCCGCGGTAATGCATGGGGATTTCCAAGCAAGGGATTCATTCCAGCTGCGGTGGCTGCTGCGAATAGCGGGAGATCATCCGCCAGCTCGGTATCACGTTGAAACTCAAAATGGGAGCTGGTTTGCTAAGATCATGCGCAAGAAAGAGTGTTTATTCTTCGTGTAGTATGCCCGCGAAGATCGTCCCAAAATCAAGTAAGGAGTGTAAGAGGACGCGAAACCGCCGTCCATAGTCAAGTACGCAAGTGCGCAAAAGCAATTCCCGCCTTCATTTTCCAATTTGTATCCCCTTCGTATTGCATCATCCTCCTCTTACAGCGATCGAGTCGCATTCCAACGGCAGCGACGAGTACGCTGGCAAGTCGCTGCACGTTCAGCCTCCCCGCAACCCACGTGGCCGCCAACACCACCTCTCAGAACTTCACACCCAACTTCCAGCCAACTTGGAGTGCGCGACTCCACACAAAGCAAAGTGACGCCACGATGTAGCAAGCTGCGGTCCAGATGACCACTCCCCAGTAGTGTCCACCAGTGGACTGGATGATCGCACCCGCAATAGGAATACCCGTAAGCGTGCTGAAGCTGACCACGGTGTAACAGGTAGCGTAGTACCTGCCGTAGACATTCGTATCGCAAAGCTGGCCGACGCAGACTGGCGTCAATGAGATGTTGGAGCCAGATGCGAAACCAAACAAGACCGCGTAGACAATGGAGAGTGCTTTGATAGCCGTAGCTTCGGCCGCGGAGGTGGGGGTGAGTAGCGATGCGGGCAGCCAGAAGACTAGCGATGTAGCTGAGCAAATGGCGAGTGCAGCAATCATGCTGTTGAAGCGCCCGAGCTTATCGGCTAGGAAGCCTGGAACCCATCGACCAAGACAGCTTCCCGCGTTGAAGATGGCGATGAGTTGGTACGAGAATGACGGGCTGAAAGCGCCAGTACTGACCGCGAAGGTGGTAAGGTAAGTGATCGGGATGAAGAGTGCCCATTCCATCATGAAGATGCCGACCGTGAGCAGGAAGTAGCTCTTGTGGCGGAAGATTCGAAAATCCGGCCATACTGATTGTCCAGCTTTGGGTGGTAGGCGGGAGCGGATCAGGAAGCAGGCACCAATGCAGCAGAAGAGCGTGATGAAGCCGATGATGCGAGTCGCCCATGGGAAGCCAACCCTGGGTAGCAGCTTCTCCAGCGCCAGCGGGAATATGACACCACCCAGCGAGCCTCCAGCTGCGGCGATACCCGTTGCGTTGCCTCGCTTTTGCAGGAAGAAGTGGCTGACTGCAGCGAACGCAGGCGTGAAGATCAACGATGTACCGAGACCCCCAAGCACGCCGAAGACGAGGAAGAAGTGCCAGTACAGTGTGCAAATCCCGAGCAGGAAGTTTGACAAGCACAGCAGGATGCTACCTGCCAGCACCAATAGCTTCGGGCCGTGCGCATCGAATATGGGTCCAATCTGAAGTCCGCAGAAGAACGACAGGAAGACGTACATGCTGAAGATCCACGAGATGGTCGACTCGGTGTAGTCTGCAAGGTAGTGCTCGGCAATGTAGGCATGGTAGATACCGACTGTGTTCATCATACCCAAGGATGCGATGAGTCCAAGGAACGATCCTAGAACGACAGACCAGGCACCTAGGCCACCTTCTGGATAAGTTACTTCGTCATTGGCAATAGACGTTGATCGAGATTCCTCATCAAGAGGTCGGTGAGCTTTTTCATCTCCAGTTGCAGTGTTGCTTGGGCGATTCTCCTTGGAGTTGGCCGATGCCGGGGCATCGGCGTTGTGAGTTTGGGCACTTGGGCATGGTGACAGTGTGTCCGATGGCGGGATCGTAAATTCGGCGTGAGGATAAGTGTTGACTCTGGTCAAGTTGTTGTGTGGGCTAAGTGATCCTGGCGTGCTGCCTTTTGGTTCGCTGCTCATACGAAGGGCCGAGTTGGTTTTGGGGTAGGTTTCGTCTAATATGTATGACGATGCGCGTTATTGCGCTGGCAAGTTGATGTCAAATTCGTGAAAGATGTCGCAAGCTCCTGCACAGTCCCCGAAAAGCGTCCTCGCAGCCCTGAAGTACCTCCCAATCGATGATGCGCGCCGAATTTGAATCGCAGATTGTGGTTCCCCGAGCGGTTTGGTGTTGCATAGTCGAGCTCCCCGAGCGGTATAAGTACGTTGGATGCCACAGGAGGGGTAAAGAGCCATGACCAATAGACCCACTCTGCCGCTTCGGCAACCACTCGCAATGCGGTATCGCCCGCTGCCGACGAAGGGTTTTCAGCACACCTCTATTCCGAACCGGTGCATGATTCGCCCTAGACGCCGAGAACCAAGACTCTGCTGGACATTGGCGGTGAAGTCAGCATGATGGTCTGGACGACATCGTCTCCGGACATAGTATTTCTCGGAATTGAAATCGGAGTTGAGCGTCATCGGCATCGGAAAACTTCTTGTGGGGGTTTCCGACCTGCTCGATGATGTCGAAAGCTTTCTTCTCTTGCGAAATGTAAACCAGGAGCTGTTCAGCCATTGGTGCGATCTTCTGAGTGTCGTCGGTGGCTTCAAGGATGGACAGCCACAGCTGCGTGGTAGACGGTGTGACTGTGGGTGTAGGAACATCGCCGAACATGGAATCATAGCGGTCATCTTCACTGCCATGTCGGGTATATGGTGCAGCTGGCATCTTGCTGACCTTGGGTGTAGGTAATCGAGTGCTTTGGTTCAGCATATCCAGAAGCATTGTACTCTCACTGGATCCATTCGTGCCGATGCTGGAGGCATCGTCGCCCTTGTCCGAGCGACATCCTTGGATGGCTCTGTGGAGCACTAGCCAACTACCGCGGAATCTCCAACGGTCTTCGTGCGCTATGTCACGGTCGCGAGAAGCATACGTAGCCCTCAGTCTACTTTCTAAGAGGTCGTAGAGTGTACCGGGACATTTCTCGCTGGTGATTTGGGAAGTTCTGGGACTATTCTGCGGTGGTTTGGAGTATACGCTATCTTGACCGGCATGCTGTGACGACGGTTTGTTGCACTGAACACCTTGCGGCAGTTGTGATACGTTCTTGTTATAAGCCTGTTGATGCGCTGAGCTACTTGTCGCAAGGTCCACGGATCTTCCTTGTTGCTTCGATCTTGTAGTGTACTTCGCCCGGAGGTTGCGTACATCGCGACGGAGTAGCTTGGCTGTCCAGCGGACGTCATACGGCAAAAAAGAGCGCATCATGATGAAGAGTATAGCTATCAATGTGACTGACTGTATCCATGTTAGTTGAGATTGCAGATTGAGGGTTCACTTGGCGCACACTCACCAATATCAACATGCGTTTAAGTGGCATGCGCTTGGTGTTGTGTACGGAGGTAGAGGCTAACTGAATGTGAAAAGAGCAATACACGCGAGTGAAGATAGTGTGATTGAAGTTGAGTGCGCGTGGTAACTGTACGAGATATTGCTAGACTGAGAGCAAAGTGACAGTAAAGTGACAATGAAGGGTCCAATCTAATCCCACGTGGTTTGCGCTCGTGCGCGCTTTCAAGGCAACTGCACTTAGGCAGTGTAAACAAACGCACAGCAGGCGCGCCTTTCACTTCCATCCGCTTCGACGGGAAACTATCAGCGTTCGCTCCACACTCTAAGTACCCGAGATGAGAAGATAATCCACGTAGCCAAGGGCGTTGCAGTTCCTCAACCCTCACCATACGAGATGAGAAGACATAGTAAAACGCACCGCATTCCAGCACCTACCTGGAGAAACAGAAAAGAAGTCGGTCGGCAAACGTAACGTCCGCTCTTTCCGCATTCGTCATCGTATACCTACACCGTCCACTCCACCACCTCCCCCAACTTCCAATCCACATCCTCCATCCAAGCCCCCACACTCCACGCACCCAGTCCCCTCGGCCACCAATTCTTCTCACCCTCCTGCTCCACCTCACTCTCCTTCTTCTCATGCACCTCAACCCAGCACCCCCGCGCCCTCGGCGTGACCGCTGCAATATCAAACGCCCGCCACTTCTGTGTTCCTACTAGCACCGCGTCCATCTTCTTAATGTCTGTGTCGTAGTCGTCTACCTGTAGTCCTTCTTGCACTTCTTTAACCGCTTTCTCGTGACCCGGCGCAGATGGCAGGGGAGGTTGCGCGGCAGCCATGCTGAGAGGGAGGTATTTCGTGTTCAACGGCATTGACGGAACCCATTGCCAGGGTTTGAGAGTACAGGCAAAGAAGGGTGCGCCGCCATCTCCTTCTTTGGTGCCAGGCGGGAAGACTTGCACAGTGAGAGTGGATGGGGGTGAGGCGCCGGGGGCAGTAGGCGGTGCGGAGAAAGAGAAGCGGGCGAGCTGTTTGGGAATGTTCCAATTTAGGCGCCCGTTGTAGGTTGTTGTGCGTTGGGAGACGTAGATGCGGGATATACGCTGGGCTTTTTTGGGGATTTTGATGTGTGGCTGGCCGGATGGGGTGGTTGTTGGTTGTGGGACGGTGAAGTTTCCGGGGACGAGGAGGAGTTCGTCGTAGGGGCCTGTGATGACGTTAGAGAGGAATTACTAGAATTGTTGTCATCTCGTGTCGTCTTCTGGTGTATTTCCTCCTGCTCATTTCTATCCCTCAAAAGAAGTCGCGTTCGACATCTACAATACCCACCGACTCTTCCATCCACAACCTTCCCTCTTCTCACCCTTTCCCATCCCTGCTCATCCCACAAAAGGAACATCCCACATACCAACAGGCGTATCCCTATACCTAACAATACACACCGTCCCCAACCCTCCCTCAAACTTCCCCATCCCCTCATCATCCCACCCACCCTCCTTCCCCTCAAGCTCACCATGCACACCCCCAGGCAACCCCTTCAACACATGAAACAGCATATACACTTCCGCCGTGAGTTTCCATGGCGCCGGCGCACGCGCAACAGGATGGAAAGACGGTTCTTCAGGGCCGGGTGCAGACATTGCGCGGTATCACGATCGAGAAGGTTGATCAAGCGGGATGACAATGGTGTAGGAAAGACAACACTTCAGAGATGGATATGGTGATGGTGCTAGCCGTTTACTGTAGTTGAAGTAATAACACCAGCTACCGGGTAACGTTGTTGCGACCTGGCATGTGATGGGCAAGATATCCGGTTCAGCCGCGGCTGCAGTGTGCATCTCGAGACATCCCTTGCAATATTCTCTCGGTAAAGTACCAAGGAGACTGTGTGGCACAGCACAGCAGCTTACATCGCTGTGTATAAGCGCCAAGGTGCTTTGTTTCTATCACTAAGCACTCGATGGGGTCGAACGACTGATGATAAACGTACACGGGAGTGATGGAAATGTTGCGTGAGGAGAGGGAGGCCAGAGAAGTTGATGAGGAAAGCGCGATGGTCTGAGCGCTGCGTGCTTGAACCCATCCATGCCGCGTTCTTAAGTGCCCCAAGCTCTTCGTGTGACGCATCACCAAGATCTGGTACGATTTACGATGACAGTCACACAACGATGAGATGGTACTTCTCTCAACTTACCTCATCCACTCTCAAAGCACACATGTACCAAACCAACAAACTGCCGTCGTCGCAACTATACCCATCAAGTCCCGCCTAACAGCTAGCCCCGCCTCGCCAAAATTCTGACAACCACCACACCAACACTTACGCACATGCAGATGCACTCATGCCCATCGCGCCCACCTTTCTGCGAACCAAAGATGTCTTGCATCACACGTCTTCGCAAAGTACTCCACATCCTTCCATCCGTCCACCCATCCCCATCTATCCCTACATGCATCTGCACCCTTCCTTGCACACCGCTACTGATGTGCCGTCCTAAACATCCCTTAAGTTTAGTTCCCTTAGTCCTGTCAATACATATGCAGCTCCAAATACTTCTCGGCGCGTAGAAGAACCTAAGAACACCTTTCAATATTTTAGAATATTTTAGCAGCGTGGTTCTATCCGTCTAGTCACCGTGCTTTCATGCCCACTTCTTCTACTTAACCCCAAGTAGAATTATCTGGGGGTAATAGAAACTCACCCTGCCCCGCTTTAACCTTGATGGCCCCAGTAACACCCGCGTCTACACATGAGCATGTTTTTGTTAGACATGTAGCGGGTGCCTCTACTACTACTACTGCATAGCTCGCAGTGCGAGCGGAGATTAAACACAGAAGCACTCCTACTCATGCTCATGTCTCTGTATTGGGCAAAGACTCGTGTGCGTCCGTCATTATACTCCGGAAGAACTTCAGTAGGATCTGATCGCTGGAGGAAGAAAAGGGTTCGTGGGCACCCCACAGCACGAGATCAACGATTCGCTGCTCTGTCGATTACTACCAAATCGCCGGTAACGCAAACGCGGCTCTGCGTCGATCATCATACGTACATATGTCAGCTTGCTGTCCAGACCCTTTCTTCCTCCCGAGATGTTTCCCAACGATTTCCAGCAATACTACATCGTTCGTTCTCGTTCTTTCTCCCTGCTCCATCAACTCCATAGTCTTTCCCCAGTCGTTGGAGCATCATCTCGTGGCAACGCGTCTATTGGCTGAGAGTCGGGCTATCCAATAATACAACCCGGCTAACTACGGCGTGCGCGTCCACACACACACAACAAAGCCGGGGCGGGAGTGTGTCGAGGCCAAAACCAATAGACCCTACGAAGCTAGGTCATGCGGCTCTGCACCTACCCTTTCGACCTAAACTAGGGCTGGCGGCGGACTGACAGCCCTGGAGTGTCAATGCTCACGTACCAGCCTTGTCCCCAAACAGCAGTCCGCTTGCATGACGCGCAGCAGAACGACGATGGAGCGGCGGTCTGTGGCGGGACAAAGCGTTTCTTGGCGGCTCGAGCGGCGGACGAGTCAGAACACCAGCACTACTACCATGGCACGTGGCATGGTAAGCTGTGACCCTGAGGGACCGGGCGAGTGGCAATACATCGGCATGTGATGGCTGGTACGTAGCGGGATGTTGTAACCTTGGCATGAGGGTACCTCGTGGTTGTTCGTGTGCAAGGGAACCCATTGTACGAATGCGGTGGCGTATCCCTCGGTACGTTGGTAGCGCAAGGTTGGTGGTAGGAACCCAAACGGCGCGCTACACCGAACAGGCGACGGGTCCGGTCGGTAGTCATGTGTAGCCAGATTAGCGATGTTTGGACGCGGCTTGGAAGGGCGCATGTCCGATGGATGAGCGTCATCACGAAATTGTCCGGAGATGAACGATGAGGTTGAGCGGGGAACCAAGTGGTGAATTGTGTAGGTTTGAACTCCGACACGCATGTCCGTTGGATGAGCGTGATCACGAAATTGTCCGGAGATGAACGATGAGGTTGCAGGAGGAACCAGATAGTAGTGTGTGAAGTATGTAGAGTGTGGTATTACGGGACCCTCCAAGATGTACTTGTCAGGATAGCCGTCATGTCTATCAACTATCTCCGAAAATGACAACGCCTGTGGAACTCGAGGTCCTATTTTGAATAACTTTTTGTGTACTCTGCGATAGAGGAGAACGCCGTTTCGAAGAAAAAGAGAGAAAAGAGACCCAAGTCTATCAAGCTCAGGGGGATATTCCGCGTAGAAAAAAAACAAGACGATTTGAAAGCAAAGATAGCCAACTCATAACACCTCTGTAATGCACATCGAATTCGTCGTTACCAAGCGCTGCTGTGTATACCGCCCGCCGGTTCTCAAAAGGAAGATGTACAATCTCGAGAGGATGTACAAGAAAGCGGAAATACGTGGGCGGAGCCAAAAGAATCTCTTTATCCAAGGTATCATCAGGCCTGGCTGGTTGGTTTGGTAGACAAATCCTCCAATCCAAATGTAACGCCAGGTAGATGCAAGAACAAGGGACGGGACGAGTCATGACTTTTCGTGTTGTTGCTGAACAACATCAGCCGATAAAGAAACAAAATGTCTATGGCGAAGCTGCGTGCGTCGTCGCGGATATCGAAGATCGGGGTATTGGGAGAAGAGTAGAAGGTTGGGAGACGCATTGAGAGCGATCCGAAGAAGTAGAGTTCTAGAACATGGAGGGGTCGATGCCCATTCCAGCACCAGCGACATTCGCGTTCTGGAGATTTTGCAAATTTGAGGTGAGACCAAGCTTCTGCATCGCCAACTCAGGGTTGCAGTGGGGGGCGTGGGAGCGGTGGTACTTAAGACCGTTGAGGTTCTTGTATCGCTTGCCGCAGACTTCGCAGCGGTATGGCTTCTCCTTCTCCATGCCGACAGTTCCCGGGTAGGGAATGGATGTGAGAGGGTCGACAATCGAAAAGGTACCGTCGTCGTTCTCTTTGAGTTGCTGGTTCTGGTGACCGTGCTGCTTGTGGTACTTGAGACCGTTCTGGTTCTTGTATGCCTTCTCGCAACCAATGACTGGGCACCGGAATGGCTTGACCTCCTCGGGGAAGGGGAATTGGGGTATGCTTGCGCCGTTGATGAGCTGCTGCTCCCGTAATCTCCTGGCCATCTCACTCTGGTCGTTTCCGCTGAGCTGGTAGTTCTTGAGCGCAGCTTGCAGCTGGGCCTGGTTCAGACCGCCGCCCTGCTTGCTGAAGAGACGCTTGCCGGGCTGGTCGATTGTGCCGTTGTTGTCGAATGCGCCCATGCCAAAGTTGCCGTTGCCGTTGGCGAAGTTCATGCCCATGTTCATGTTCATGTCCATGCCCATCATTGGGTTGAAACCGCCAAAGTCCATGTCGAGCTCAGCCGGAGTGCCCGGGTGTGAAGATTCGGGCGATGTCAGGTTGTGGTTTTGCATTGGCATGGTGCCCATTGTGGGGGTGTTGACCGACGAGACGGTGGGGTTGTTCTGGAGGTTGAACTGCTGCGAGGCAGACGGGGTGGTGGGTGTCGATGTGCGCATGCCCTGGTGATTTTGCATGTTGTTGGCGAGGTTGACGTTGACGTTGAGCTGGGGCTGCTGGTTCTGGTTCTGGTTGAACTGGTTCTGGACGGGGAATTGCTGCATGTTCTGCTGCTCCTCAATGGGGCCGAGGTTGTCGAAGTTGATGTCGTCCATGTCCATGTCGTCCAGCGTGTCCATGTCCTGCACAGTCGACAAGTTGGAGCGGCTGACAGAGCCGATGCGCTGGCGGGGCGCGCCTATTGAGCCGGAGCGCGACTGGAAGCCGTTCTGTGTGTTGAAGGCCGGGTCGCCCTGTGTCTGGCTCGGTGCAATGGAGCTGGTGGGGGCACCGGATGTGGCTGTGAAGCCGTTCTGCGGCTGCTGCTGCTGCTGTGGGCGGGCGGCCGGTGCGTTGGCGTGCGTCTCCTCGAAGTGCTGCAGGAGGTCGTGCAGGGAGGCGAGGGTGAGGCCGCAGCATGTGAAGTCCTTCATGAAGGCGGCTTCCATCTTGGGCAGGTAGGACGACGAGTGGAAGGAGGGCGAGTTCTGCACAAAGGGCGCGGGTGAGGTACCCATCATGATGCTGGGCGGAGGTTAATTTGGGCTGTTACAACTGGGGATAAGTGGATACTTACTCGTCGCGGATCCAAGACCCGACCGAGTGGCCGCCCCAGCTCATGCCACCTGCGAAGCTACCCATGTTGGTGCTTTCGCGACGCCCACGGTCCTTCATGGTGATGGGGCGGGCGCCGCTGTTGCCGTAGAAAGAAGAGCCGAGCATGCTGATGGAGGGGTGGCGCTCGCCTATGCTCGGGCGGCCATTGTTGAACTCGAAGTTGTTCGGGTTGAGCAGACCGGGCGTCGTGGCCATGTCGGGCTGAGCCTCGGCCTGGCGTAGAGCCGACGTCAGGTTGGACGTCTGGTTCTGGGGCGAGTTGGAGCCATAGCGCGGGGGCGTCTGGATGTCGATGGGCGAGGCGGTGGCCATGTCTGCGAAGCCGCTGTGAACTTGCGGCTCCTCAGGGAAGAGGGGGAAGCTGCAGTCGCCCGCGTCTTCGAATAGCACGTCCTCGTCGGGCTGGCGGCGGGCCACAAGCTCCGTGGGCTTGCGGTGCCAGAGGTGGTGGAGGCCGGCGCTCGGGTCCTTGTTCCCACGCCCAAATTGCGGCGATGCGGGCTGCTCGACAGGCGTGGAGATGGGCGTGCTCGCTGCGGTGGATTCGCGCGGCGAGTGGGAGAGGGGTGGCGGGTGCTCGTAGGAATCCAGCTTCACGGTGGGCGAGGTGAAGGGTAGAGAGGGCAGTGGGGACGAATGCTAGTGGAACGGCGACTCGTTAGGCGCAGTTTCAGATGACTGTGCGGGTGTGTGGCGTCGTCGGCAGTGGTCGTGAAAATGAGAACACCGAATAATAATGGTGTTCAAGTGTGTCTGAGGGTAACTGGAATAGTCGATATGCTCAGTATTATGCCAGTGAATTTACGTGGAATAGCCGTGCCGGGGCGCGGTAGATTATATGCGCAAGTGGGAGCGGTGACGACGAGGGTTAGTATGGGCAGAGCGGCCGACCTCGAGGATCCCTGCACGGTGGGTGGATACGGCCAATTGCGGGCTGGCGCTACTGTGCTCTGTATGCGTCGCTCCTGCCAAAAATGCAACTCTGACGAAGGGCGATCTCGGATTATGCGATGCGAGTAACGGGGCGATGGGCGGAATGCGGATGCAGATGCAGCGATACAACGGCTGCCCGTCTTCTTAATATTTGGTTTGTCTCTCGGCCTGGCCAGCGCCGGCTTCGTGATTGAAATACGGCACTGCCGGCCGAGGCAACTTTGGGAGAGAGGCGCGCACGGCCACATGGTTTCTGGTACGCGCCCCTACTAGAGCCGGAGCATGGAGACGACTCCAAGCGTCTGCGTCTGCGTCTGCGAGCACTCGTCGCCGTCCAACGCAGGCCTCCCTGGCCCAGCGCAGTAGCATCGCCAACAACTTCTTCTAGAAGCCATCGTGCGTGGCGCCCTGGCCAGCTGGAAAGTACCGTCCGTCGCCCTTGCCTTGCCTTGCCCTGCCCGTGGCGCAGCCAACACCACCGTAGCCTTCGCCGTGAACCATCCTATACCCGAGTCTGCTCCGGGCCAGCTCTTGGCTCTTCACTCCCACTACCCTACCTAGTATCATTACCTAGCAGCGTGAATGATCTCTTCGTGCGAACCGCCGCTGACGCCCATGCACTCACCATCACTTGCAGTCTGCCCTGCAATTCCACCTGCTCCGCACACTAATATGACTAACATGGCTCTGCTCCGCTGGCTGCTCGCTGCGACTCAAAGGGTCCTGGTCTGCATCGCGCCCAACATGCTTCATCCCTACCCGCCTGCCTAGCCACACCAGCCCGCTCACGAGCATCCCCAGCCATGGACATCGTCGTTTCGAACCGTCACTATGTTGCTCGGCCAGGTCGGCAGAATGCATCGTCTTGGCCGGACTGCCCTCGGCTGTTTGACTCTCTTGGGCTCTCTTACACACGCACTCAACTAACCGCCGCCGCTGCCCTTAGCCTGCGCTACATGCGGTACGTACTCTGCTGTTGGGACGACTACATGCCTTTGCCTATTGATGCTCTACATGTAGTATCGTCTACTCGCAAACTCAAAGTTACTGCACCTCTAGCACCTAGCGCTGTGATCACTAACCACCGCGACAATACTCGGCAGGTCTTGCGTTGCTTTTTACCCCATGGTCTTCCTGTCTGGGGTAACGAGTCTGTCGCTTACCCGCCTGCATCACGGACTGCCTGACTCCAGGGCTGCCTGACTGCTATAGCTGAAGCTACCGACGACCCGAAATGTCGTGCTCGTCCACCAACCACGACACGATAGCACACACCCAACCCCCACGGCCGCCTCACAAGCCTCATTTCCAACTCCTAACTTCTGTCAGTTGCATATTCGAAACATGCAGCCTGTCCCGTGACGGGCACCGAGCACCGGAGTCTTCTCATACCGCAACTATGTCTGCCCTACCCAAGGCCAGCCATCCTTGCAAACGTCACGCCCGGCTCGCTTCACGTCGTGCGCGCTCGTTTCATTGGACCCTGCAGCAGCTCATTCTCCCACGTCGTGCTCAATGAGGGATCCCGCCCTACACCAGTCCCAATTTCATCCCACTTGCTGTGTCACTCCAGACACCTCATCACCGCCCCAGCGAAACACGTACCAAAGACGTCGTCCCGCGGATTACGACGTCTTCGAAATATCACCGACGGTACGCGCCTGCACTCGTCATGCTTATGCTGACTGGCCTCCTCGGCGAGGGCGGAATCCGTTGGGGCGCGGCTCTCCCGCTGTCGCTTGTACAGCACCACCGCCAAGCGCTATTGGCGGAAGGCACAACCGGTGCAACTTCCGACTTGCGAGCCAGACACACGGCTGGGTGGCGACGTCACTCACTCTGCCCATCCATCGCCATACGGCCCCAGCCCTGAGATGCACCTCGTCTCAGCTCTCGTTGCCAGCCACCAATCCAGCGTTCTTCCGCCACGCACGGTACCGTCAGCTGAATCGTCGCTCCCGACCCGAGACGAGCGCATCTTGGTACAACTCTTGCAGTAAGTGTGGCGAGCGACGCATCGTCAGATTCACGATGCCCCAAGATCGCATCAGGACTCCAGCCCCAATCCTGGCTAGCAGCCTTCACCGCCAACTGCCGCCGTGACGTACCCGGTATAACAACGTCTGCTATCCGGTAGCGCACGACAGTGCATCATCTCCTAGGCTGCTTCCAGATGTATTGCATCTTCCGATCTTATCAATGTCCAAACTCCACCATGGTCCTTTTCCGCCGGTTCACAGTACCATGGGAAGACACTCTGGGGTAACGGCTACAACGGCTACAGCTCCAGTCAAGAACACTGTCATGCCAATTGCGGGGTAAAAAGTAACTCTGGTATCCAAGTACGCCGACGTAGACTGACCCGAACATCAAGCGAACGTTCTGTACCAACATCTGTGACGACTCCAGCACGCAGGCATGAAGCCAGCGCATGGCACACGCAAACGCCCCAAACGCTCCCGGAATCGGATCCATCAGTGTCCAACGTTGCGACACTACGTGGTTAGAAACGGCCCTTCATCATGTTCACAATATGCGCGTCATTGCTTTTGGCGTCAGGCACGCCTACCCCAGGGGACGAATCGCAGACCATAGCAACCCGTGCTACTATCGTCTAACGTCAGTAGTCTAATTCACCTCGCTTAAAGGCTCAGCTCTCGCTGTCACGTTGTCGACAATGCAACACCAAGCAACACGGATAATGACTTATCCCACTCGGTAGTCGCAATTTTCATGAAATTGTCCGAAACATGATCGCTTGTGGCGCCTCACACGATGTCTCGAACCCACACTGCACTGTCTAATACGTTGTATCCGCCATCTCCACACCTCCACCTGCAGCGCCATGCATGATTTCAAGCTTCAACGCTAGAACCTCTAGCGCGGGCTCGGTCCTTTCTTGGGTCACGTTATCGGGCCGCTACCATACACGCAGAGCACATTCGGCAACTGCCAGAGATCAAATGTTGACGTGAACAGATGTGCAGCATGGATTGACATCGGAATACCGATTCTAGATTCTCCGACTATGCAATCGAAGGATTCCGGCCCTGGACAGCTGAGACGTTGTGATGTTGTGTTCGGTCAAATACATCATCTTCGGCCCTACATCCATGGGCAACACGAGCGCACGATCAGCCTTGTGACGTCAACCTCGACAGGATGAATCGTTCCTCTAGGCAGCTGGACCTAACGCTGGCGAACTGCTCCGCGAACGATGTTGTTAGAGGCGATGGGATCGAGCATGGCCGACCTTATCTACCTGATCGGCAATATGCTAGTAATAGCTTCCTCCCGCACTTCGGGATGACTACATCCAGTGTGTTGATATGCGAGCCCGCGCGTCACTGTCGCGCATGTGTGCGGCGTGGCATATGTCATCCCGCCAAACCCTGGCTTTTGTGACGAAAGATGCAGCACTCATCAGTCGATGCTCCTCGGAACCGCAATCACATTCCAGAGGGACTGACCTTCCGAAAAGGTATACTATGGGAATTTGTACTCGACGATCGTTCAGGCGTAATGTGGCAGGTCCGGCTTGCTTTACCCGGTGGGATGCACGTTGGAAGTGAATCATTTGTATTGGATGATCGTCGATATCGTCAGGCTTCGTGAGTAATGCTGTGTACATGACTTCTTTCGCTCACCCTGATGGTCACGGACGGTTTTTGACATCAGAAGACACGTGTGCTCATTACAAGACCCGATTACCTCTTACCCTTCGATCCGTCAACAACGAGAAATGGAGATGCTTATCTGTGGAACAACCATACACGCAAGAGACCCATCACGACCGAAGTACTGCCTGGCAACGATGTCGTAACAGCGATGAGAGTGTGTCATATGGACATGTCTTCGTTTCAATATAGGGGTATCTTCTCAGCATCGATGCATTACATTCCGCCCATCGGAGCTTCGAAACGGCCGACATCTTTCAGTCTCATTCTCATCATGGACATATATCGAAACCATTGCTAAAATTCATCTCTTCAGCATCTCATCACTACACAGTCTCGTTGAGTACTCGCTGCGGGTGCCGAATGCGGGTACGGCCTGCTGTAGCTATTTGTCGTGCTAGCACCATTGGTCCCAGCCTGAAGATTACGCCCGTGCAAAGATCGCAAAGTCTCCTATCGGGGGTTTCAAATCATATATGATCCATCATGATTTGTTTAGGTGCTAAGCCCTGCGCAGTTCAAGGCTTCTTCTGCAAGGAATAGCTGACCACATTCCATATGGGTACCAAGCGAAAACGAGGCCTAGTAAGACAGGGCCATATGTCCAAGTGAAGCAAAACACTTTCGCCCATTGTGAGTCATTCTTCCTCATAGTACAGATAACAGTTATGACACAACCAGACATTACCCAGAGTAAAAGAGCGAGGAAGATAGGATACTCCCAGACCACGTCCTCTACAATCTCTAAACCCCAGTCGTGAACCAATTTTTGGGTATCAGTCAGCCGACTCATAGAACTCTGGCCAAACCTTTTGGGAACTCGGTCGCGCACGCTTGTTTCTTGATACAGACCCGGATCGCAAGAGTATTTCCGATTTTTCCTGTTCATGCAATGAGCCAAGTAAGTGAAGGACCAACAATATTTCAGGGAACCAGAACTCGGTGGTAAAAGCTCGTCGATTTGGACAGTGGGATAGTCTGGGTCATGTAGGGTGAATGTAACGCATCGTACAGCAGAGACTCTGTATAACCGGGATGCGATCCTTCCACGATGGCTGATAGCGACATCTGTATATCGACGGTCGAGTTCTTCGACCAAGTGTCCGTCTGATTTCACCTCTGACAAGCCGATTTCAACTAGCCGCGTTTTCTTTCCTCGTAGGGTTATACAAAGTTCAAGAGTAGGGTTATCAAGAAAGCGGGCGAGATTGGAGTCGATTTCATTGAAGCTGTCGAGTGCTCGCGATGCCGAAGGGCGAAAGACAGGCTCCTTTTTAAGCATATCCCGAACCAATTCTCTAAACTGAGTGCAGAAGAAACCCAAGGCCGGACTATCGGAATCAGCAGATGCCGTATCTTGAATTTGAAGTATGTCATTGATGAGCGTGACATTGTTCGCGAATTGGCAGCTATCAAGACCCATCGCTGCGTTGTACACATCCAGGAGCTTTGGCCAGGGTCTAAGAATGCCTTCTACCAAGGCAAAACAACAACCCAGAGAGAAGACATCAGAGGCCAGGGTCGGGTTTCTGCTCTTGGCTTTCGGATCTTCATTCGTGATCTGCTCTGGTGCAAGGTACTGGTATGTTCCCTTGTTTGCTGTTGTAGCGCCGTGGATATGCTCCTTGCTGATTCCGAAATCGATAATGATAGCACGAACCTTTAGCTCCCCAGACCTCTCAAACTCGGAATGAAGGACGATGTTGTCGGGCTTGATATCCTTGTGCCGGATAGGGCCAAACCCGGGGTGCTCGCTATGAAGGTACGCGAGGCCACTCAAGCACTGTCGCACGATACTTGGCCAAGGGTCCAATGTCCCGGGTACGAACCAGGACAAGTCCGATCTACCGCCATTCGTAGAAATTCTCTCGATAAACTGTTGAAATGACAACTGCGCCCATGGCTTCGTCACGAGATAGACGTTGTGCGCCCAATTCGGATGATTGATGATGTACGCCTCCTCGAGCTGAACAATGTTCCGATGCTGACATTGTCGCAGGAACTTGATTTCCTGAGCAATCTCTTTTTGGTGTTCGGGGGACTTGATTTCAATTCGCTTGCTCGCGTAAACTTGCTGCTCGCCGATAAGCGGAATCCCCGAAGAACGGGTAGCTCGAGAAACGGTTCCGTATCCCCCAGTGGAGGGGGGACCTTTTGATCTGTCTTCCTTGTATGGAACATCTCTCTCAGCCTTGTATATGACGACTCCTGCTGAGCGGAGGTCTTTGGACCAATTCATCGCTCTGAAGTATGATGGGCGAAGATCAGCTAGTCATCGCTGGTGAGTATTGCGTGTTGAAGATGTTGTGGGCGGGGTTCACACGCCAAAAGCCCAAGGCAGCAGCTTAATTTGTGTGCAATCTCACTGGTGCGCTGCCCCTGCAACCAAAGTAGGTGATCGACATCATCATGCTTTTGTGGCTGGTCGCGTTGGCTGCGATTGGTGGTCACTCCGGTTAAACGCACCAACCGGATTGGCAAGGCTGAAGGCATCGGTGTGCGACAACAGACACAAGGCTGTCTGAAAAGCAAGAGTGAACCGCAGCAATGCGAACATCACATACTAAACAAACCAGCAATAAAGATAGTCAAAAGAGACGTCTAACACAGTCATGATTTTCATACTGAACGCTACCTAGCTCAACTTAACGATCCGGATCAGCGTCCTCAACCTCCCCACGCGGCTTCCTCTTCCCCTTCCCCTTCTTCTTGGTCCCTTCATCCTGCAACACCGTCTTCTCAGCAGCAGCACCAGCACCCGCCCTCCCAGCCATCTTCTCCAGAACAGCCTTCCTAGCTTCCGCCTTCTCCTTCCTCTCCTTGCCCAGCCAATCAAACACGCCCTCCACATCCGTAAACTGCATGAACCCACCCTCTCTCCACGCATCCCCATGTATCTTCTTCCCGGTTTCATTATCCATCGAAGCAGACTTTTGCGAACTGAGCGCCCGTCCCCAACGACAATACACCAAGCCTTGTGTGAGTACACGCACTCTCACACCCATATTCTTGTACTCTCCTTTCTCGTAGACGGGATTGTTAGCGGTAGACGAACCAACCTCCCACCCACCTTTCCGATACGCAGTCACCCCGTTGAAACATAGGATCTGCGTCAACGCCGTATCGCCCCTCGCACGCTTCTTCTCAGTCTCACTCAACGCATCACGCCGCTCCTGCTCATCCTTGTCGACGTCTTCGTACTTATTCCGCATATTCTGCTGCCTCATAGGCCCGTCGTTCCAACACTCCATAACCGAAGAATCATAGTTGTCTTCTTTGAAGAGCGGGACGTGGTGATATGCTGTGTGTGGGTCGAGGTGCATGTGCAGGGAGAGGATGCCTGCGGAAACGGTGAGGCGGCGGAGGTCATCGAAGACGGTTTTGAGTGAAGGAGCGGGGATCGGGAGTGGGGTGGAGGCGGGGTACGTAGGTTGGCAAACTAGTGAGAGGAGGGGCGAGAGGTGTATCCATAGTGCTCCGATGATGGTGTTGACGTGCGCGTTGAAGTTTGCTGGGAGGGATGTGGGTGTGGGGAGGTGGGTGAGGATGGTGGATGCGTAGGCGGCGTTGCGGGTGAAACCTATGGTTGTCAGTTCGGAGTCTTTCATCCCCTCCACTTCACCCAAACTCACCATCGGAGTCCTTGAACTTTCTCTGTACCGCCGCAACAGCCCCAACCCCCTCCTCCCCTCCCCCAAAAAACCCATGCTGCAAAACCTGCTCACTTAACACATTTCCAATCATCGCACAAACCAGCGCCTGCATCTTCTCTTTGTTGACAAAAAGGTTGTGCCACCCCCATAGTCCGCTCGGCCCTCCACTCGCCACGCAATTGATTAGTTTCGCCGTCTCTGGTGTTAAACTCGAGAACCACTCTTTCTTTATGAACACATCCGCATCGCCATCGGCATCCCCGTTCTCATCCCCGTTCTCGTTCCCGTTCTCGTCCCTGTTCGCAGCAGTGGTTGTGGTCTTGGTGGTGTGGGAAGCGTGTACACCATTCGGAAAGTACTTTTTGGAGAAATCTTCGACAGAGGACATGAGCGACCATAAACCGTCGCGGATTTCGGCGTCGCGGAAGGCGTAGTCTGGCTCTGAGGCTAGTTCTGCGCGGATGAGGCGGGGTGAAGAGAGGAGTTCGCGGGCGCGTAGGTTGGGTTGGGTTTCCCACCTCTCCTCCGGAGTCTTTTCGTGCCAGTTTGCTGGATATTCGAAACCGGGGGGATGGGCGATGAGGGGTGGGGGCATGGTGCGTTGGGATGGTGATGGTGGTTGTGATTTTGATTGTGGTGATGGTTGTGATGGTGTGATGCTTGGTTTGGTGGGTAGAGGTGAAGGTGAAGGTTTGGCAGGTGTAGGCCCTGTGGTAGTAGTATTTGATCCAACAGCCCCAGCCCGCGGTCTAGGTTGTTTGCCAACAGGTGTGTGTTTGAGTCTGTCTACTTCGATCTCGCCAGTACTAGTCATGTCTGGTCCGGCTGACGTAGTGGTGGGAGAAAACGATAGTTGCAGGTCGTCGTCGCTGCTGGACCAATCTATCTCATTGAGGATCTCGTCTTCTTCGTTCTCGGTCTCGCTGCCTGTGCATGTTGATGGCGACGGCGACGGTGACATCGCTATATGCGTGCTTGTACCAACATGCGTCTTCCTTATTTTATCGTGTGTCTCTGTCCTACCAGTCCTACTACACGGACTACGCGCTTCCAGAGCAGTGTACAAGTCGCGAGAAAGTTTGCGCACGGATTTGGGAGTCGCATACGGCCGGGCATCGTCATCTCCATCATCCTCGTCGCCATCTTCAACCTCGTCTTCAACATCAATCCCAGCTTCAAATTCAGCTTCGTCTTGAAGTTGGCACGCTGCCGCTACCTCCTCATCCAGCTCATCCTCATCCATCTCATATCCATCATCTCCACTCACCGCCACCGTCCCCGCACCAGCATAAACAGCATTCTGGTATTCCTCCGGATCATACGCTTCTCTCTTCCTCTTCTCACCCTTCCCACCCAAGCGCGAAGTAGACGTGTCTGTTATATCGCGCTTCTTGGTGGGTGGATGTTTAGCGGGCGAACTGAAGAGGTTGTGGAGGAAGGACATCGCGCGCGATGGTGGTTGCGTTGGTGGGGTGAGGATGTGCGCTGTCGCCAAGTATGGTGAAATGGCTTTACTGAAGGGTCAGTCGCATGAATGCGACGTCTTGCTTCACCGGCTCTTGTATGTTGTATGGCCATGGTGGTTGCTTTGTCTTTGTTAAGCCGCGACCGCATCCGGCAGTTTGTGGGAGCGTGCAGCCGGATGGAGGTTTGCGATTGTTTTTGCGCGGGAGGAACAAAGACACCAAGAGCTGATACTGTGGTATCTTTGCGGTGCAGCGCAACAATGGGTGTCTTTGACGTGGCGATCGTCTATTGTGTTGGCAAGTTAGAGTGAGGTCCGGTGAGGGTATATGCATGCGTCGCATCCTTCTAGCTCACACATTCAGCTATCAAATTAGCAGAAGACACAACAAGGCACTTCGAACCTGATTGAGGAAAAACCACTATCATTACCTCAGTGTAGAGTAAAATCCGCTATGCTAGATACGCCTGGCTCGATAAGTAAATGTAGAGCGATGATGCAAGGAAACGCTAGACGACAACAATATACAAAGAAACTTGAATTGAGTTTATGACTTGGGTGGTGGTGTAAAGTTCTTGTAGAAACAGGAACATAACGTGCTCTCAATCTGAGGCTTGAGCCTGACGTCGTCACCTGACGAGCTCGTGCAAGCCGGTACTCCTTGTCCACCTGCTACGCTTTGTTCGATCTTGACGGCTATTTCAAGTTAGTTGTTGTTGTACGTGAGATGAGAGCTGCTAGCGGTGCTTACCGTATGGCCACGCCTTGTTGGCGACCTTTCCAACTGCAATTGTGTCGTCTGGGTACGTTTGCTGCATCTTGGTGTATAAGATGCCCTGCATGTTTGTCGCACCGTAGTCGCACTCAAAGTCGCCTCTCTTTCCTCCAAGGCTTCCGGTCATGTTCACAGTCTTGGACCGCGTGATCTGGAACCGGTACCGTTCCGTGTCCTTCCCGGCGTCCAACAACTCGAGGTCTTCGTTCTGGAACGTCGTGTCGAATGTGTCGTCCTGTTTGCCCGAAGAAATCTTCCAAGACCCTGCAGATCCGCTGATATCCCAATTGAGAATGGTGAGAGCTTTCTGTTGGTCGTCGTAGTAGTTTGTGTTCGGCGGGCATGTCCACGTGTCTGCGTCTGAGGTGCAGTCTGTTGTGACGGTGTCGAGGAAGAGGACGAAGGACCAGCTTCCGACAGGGAAGTTTGAGGGGACGGCGGAGGGTGTGGAGGTGGCGACTGCAGATGGGGGGTCGTCGTCGGTCGTGGAGGGAGAGTTGGAGTTGGAGGCGGGCTTACTATCGGTGCCTGCTGGAGTCGTTGAGCCGCCTGTGTTCGCTGCGGGTGCGCTGCTGTGTAATTGTCAGCCCATATTCCCTCGATGTTAGCAAAGAGTTGGCCTACCTCTTCGAGTCCTTCTTCAGTCCCATCGCGAGTCCAACGCCCAGTGCCACTATCAGCGCAATGATCAGGGCGGCGACCACGGCAAGCTTCTTCCATCCCCAGGCAGCACATCCTCTCTGTCTTCGTTGCCGTACGTGTCCAAACTTCTCCTCATCCCGGTCACTCCACACGCTGACACTGAGATTGCTCCCGTTGTGCATATCCTCGCTGCTTTCCCTTGGCGTGAGTAATCTGCCACCCGTCAAGACCGATTGGATGAAGCCGGGCTTCTTCTCGACCCTATGGTGTTGTACTGGCCCGACATGCTGATGCGATGGGTCGTTGCAGAATGTGCTTTCGGTGGTGACGCTGATTTCGGCGGCCTTGGACGAAGCCGACTTGCCTCGTTTGGCGTCGAGGATTACGGAGAGACGCTGGCCAGCCGGCGTCGAGATGCGCTTTGCCGGCCGGTCGTCACCGATCTCGTAGTGTGCCTTTGCGCGCTTGGAGCGATAGAAGTTCATTGGATCGGAGGCTGTGGTCTATATTGCTTGTGACTCGCGGTGTGCTACTGTTCTGTGTGTCAAAAGAAAGCGTCCAAGTTCTCCTGACTGCAATGGCTATCGCTCTGCGGGTGGCTTGCCGCTATATCGCGCGCTATAGCCTGGGAGCGTAGGGATGCCGATGACGAAGACGATGGGGGTAGGGAGGTGAGAGGAAGATAACAGGAGCCTCCCTCTCCACGGCTGTCAGGCGCGACGCACCCGCCTGAGCCATGACAGCTCTCGAAAGCTTGTACGAGACGGAATCTTGTTGACATGATCCTCCTCAGGCCTCGAGCGTATGGGGCCTGCGCGATATCACGCGCTAGCGACCGTTATAGTATCGAAGTAAACTGCAACAGGCTAGGGGGTCACCCCATTCTCCTGACCATCACTCATGGAGCTGGTTCTCGGTGGAGCCGCACGGTGCTGCGTCGGGAACGGGTGCGCCATGCATGGGCAGATCATGAGAGCTTCGCGGGAGCTTTTATGCAGACAGGATGATGGCGTGCTTGACATCTGGGGTTGAAAAGACAGAGAGTGCCTTCCGCGGGTCTCGATGCTTTGCAGTCGTTGCAAGGTGACGTCGCACGAGTGAAGTTTGTTGATAGTACCGTTGGTAGCTTGTTTCGTGGGCGGTGTTTGTTTTGCTGAGTGATTAGGGGTCGCACGCACGTCGCTAAAATCGGAGCCTGTTCCTGCATTCGGCCCAGGGATCCGGGTCCGAGGGATTTTGCTGCCAAGCCTCGAGCTGCACCTCACTCGACTTTCTTTCACGTGCTTGCGTGTATACACCGTGGCAGTTACAAGTGGTGATACTTCACACGCCGAAGAAGATACCTGGGTAGGTGTTTGTTACGAGGCTGTGATGTCTGATGAGGAGCGACGCTAGTGTCGAACGCGCTTTCCTCACGCGCTCTCGCTCTCACCGCGCGCTTCACCGACGCGTCACAAACGCGACTGCCTCAATCATGCTCTCGCCTACTGTGACGTTTGCACACCTGCGCGCACTTCACTCGGAAAATTCTTTATCAACTCACTGCACGCACTGACTCCAGCTTTCTCCGTGCGACCACTACCTGGTTCTTAGCAGCTGCTCAAGGTGTATAGCAACTCGGCAATCCCCATCAGCATGACCGCTAATCGAGTTAAGGTACGCCTTGTCCCCGGATGCTCCGACGGCGATCCTCTCCATGTCCCTCCTCCGGGAGCTCATACCCAGCTTGATCCACCGACTCTTTACCTCGAGAAGATCGGCCAGCAATGGATGGAGAGTCGAGGTGAAGCTAAGCCGGGTGTGCAATACATCCTGGAAGACCTGCCCTTTGGTTACACCCTTTGGCATCGTCCACGACCATCTAAACCAAGCCATTTCGACAAGTACCTGTATGGCCATCCTGGAAAGAAAGCATTCGACTCGCCGAACAGATTCTTTCCACATTTTCTGCATCTGATGAACAACAACGGCAACAGCATTGGGTGTCCATGTACGCTCTGCAGCGGAAGCGCTGGCGTGCTTCCGAAGACCTCAGCCAACAGCTCGCAAGTACGCAGCTCCAGCGCGGCGTCTTCACGGAAGTTATCCAATTCATCTATTCCCATGCAAAGCCGGCCTTCCAGTGCTTACAGCGCCAAACAACTGCCGGTCGCACTGCCGCCTAGTCTGGCACCACAGCATAAAGGTCGGCCAAAGAAGATAACTCCGGGTCTCGACACGACGAACGTGGACAGTGAGGGCACCCCCGACGTCTACAGGAATCTCATCGATAAGCTTCGCCGGCATCGCGATGTAGACGAACCCATCCTCGAGCCACTGAGCCCAGACTGGCGCGCGGAACAAGACCATCTTCCAAAGTTCCTCATCGATATAAAGACACAAGACCAATGGGTTCCGCGAACTGGAGACATTGTCCTGTACATACGCAACATGCCTGACACAGTGGAATTGGTTCGAGACAACAGCACCGGCGAGCTTCAGCTGTACGATGAGCGACGCAAGCAGCATCTCGGTGCTCCACAATGGGCGGCAGGCCTCGTCACTGAACCGGCTACCGGTACTACGGTCGCCGAACTCGTCGCCTCTACTCAGGAGCGCAATGTATCCAGCATTGGTGTACGCGTCGAACCAATTCCAAATCCAAATGAGTCGGACAAGTCGCTATCTAAGAGACACAAGTACGTCTTGTTGCGACAGACAAGCCCGTTCATGATGTGGAGGGACCTTTTACGCCGTATCCCCCAGGAAGAATGGCATGACACTGTTAAAAACGCCCTCGCGCTGATGTCGACGCTATCTCTTATGGGCAAGTATCGCTTTCGAGGGTCGTGGCCGAACGCGAGTATATACTGTCATGGCATCTACGTTGGCGCTGAGATGCTTGCCGTGGGCGACACAGTACGACTCCTTCCCAACAAGCAATCTGGGCAGTCTGGCTGCACGGATGTCATGAGCATCAAGTCCATCCGACTGAAATGGACCAACCTAGACAAGGCGTCGGACAACGACTATGACGAGGGGCGGCCGTACAATTCCGAGATATGGATCTACGGGTCAGCGTACACTAGCGACAGCTCGCGGTCGAACAAGCTGTGGGTAACGGAGCATAATGTCGAAGCCCCGCGAGTGGCCAACGAATATGCAGACTGGTATCCACTACACCCGGCCGACAAAGAGCTCGCCATCCCCTACTCGCGCGTCCTCGGCCGCCTACACGAGCGGGACGCTATGGCATACTTCCTTAAATCCGATCATGAAGACCTTCCTGGACTCGATGTCGGACGACACGCAGTGACCGAGGCACGTGCCTTTGCCCGCAAACACGACAATCGCATAGCAGCGGAGTCCGATGCCACCTGGTACTGGGGAGACGACCGGGCCGACGCTCTAAATCTCTACACCATCAACGGTCTCGATGTGTCTAGATACGACCTCGACCGCGATGTCAAAGATCTCCGCCGCAAGTACCGCCAACTCGATGGTATCGCCAAAGGAGATGCGAAGCCTACAGGTCAAGACATACTCGACGGCAGGGGATTGCGTACCTTCATGGCGCCGGCTTTACCACTCCGCACCAGCGGCGCGAAGGCACCAAGCGAAAGCGGAAGCTCGATGGCAAGCGAAAGCCACGCGTCCCGAAAGCGCACGCACATCGTTGACCTAGATGACGAGGATGACACTGAGGAGGATGACATCGACGAAGAGATCAGAGAGCACACCAAGGTTGTGCAAGATGACCGCCAAGGTCCGATGAAGAAGAAAGCGAAGGTGATGGTTGTCATCGACTGAAGAGCGACTGGGCGCATATGAAACCGACAGACGTGGTCCGTTATGAACGATATGGTACGAAGATGATACATGGCATATGCCCTTTATGGCGAGAGAAGTTATGATACAGCGGACTCGGATACGATGGTGGAGACGATAGCCGAACTTTCTTTTCACGACGGCGGGCATGGAGGATCACTGTTGATACCCATTTACTGCGATATGCTCGAGCAACTGCATGTTCATGTACTACAGTGTACTACATCGACACGACATTAGGGCAGATGCCTATACTGGCCTATTAGCAGCCACAATACCAACATCCGATAGATGTCCTCTCGTGTCTTCTGCTTTGGTGATGCACTCACGCCGCAACCCAAAGCGCATACTTAACCCCATTGACCACCTCCAACCCCTCCACCCTCTCAAACTCCTCCGAATCAACCTCGCCATGCTCAAAATCACTCTCTAGGGCACGATTATGTAGATGTACCCAACAGTCACACGATACATCTTTGTTATTCGCTTTGCGGGAGTCGCTGCCTTGCTAACCCAAGTTGATCTCCTCCCTAAACGCCTTCGCTATCTGTGCGGTAGTCTTCAGCCCTCTTGCATCGAGCTGCCATGGGCAGAGGTACAACTGGTTGTTGCCTTTAGGTGTCATCAGGCGAAGCACTGCTCGCATGCCGGTATAAGACCTCAATTTACGCCAGCGATCGCCTTTAATGTTCATGTTCAGTTTAGCGAAGTCAAGAACATTCGCTGCCATTCCCACAGCAATCGGCGTGGCATACGAAGTGCCGGATAAACGGAAGATTTTGCCTTGCCACATCGATTCAATGGCAACCCCCAAGGTTCTGAAAGAGTCCTCGTTCTCGTTGCTATCGTCTGGATTGATGCTCTCACTGTACCCATTCCCGTCTGATGCAAGAACGCAGAATACCCCTTTCTCATTGGACGGGAAGGCGCGTGGGTAATTGAGGCCCCAATTGCCCGCTGCAGCGAACACAATCCTGGGCGGAATCTCGTCGTCCTCGGGGGAAATAGCCTCGTGGAGCACATCTCGTATTTCCGGAATCGCGTTGTGGAAACCCAATGATAACGAAATGATGTCCGCGTCGTTCTCGATTGCCCATTGGATTGCCCGCTGTTCGTTAGCTCGGGTTACGTCTTGGGCGTTGATGACTTACGGATGTGATATGCTGAATGCTCTCTGGGCGGAATTCCTTATCGGTGGAGACTTTGGCAATGATTATCTCTGCATGGACCGAAGTGGTGAGTAGTAGGCGGGCTATGTGAGTGCCATGGCCACATTTATCGTCGTAGTCTTCGGGGTTATCATCGACCCAGCTGCGCCCACGTACGACCCTACGCTTAAAGCCGCGTACAGTAGCATCGGATAAGTTCAAACCAGTATCTATGATGCATACTCTGGTTCTAACGAAAGCTTTGGGAAGACTTCGGGGAATGTGCTTCTTGTTGAACTTTGCCAGATTGGAGAGGAAAGTGCGCGCGATAGTCGCTTTCCTGAAACCTGTTAGTCATGTGCGGGGTAAACAACCGAGTCTCTTACTTGTCATCTCCATGCGCTACGACTTCCTCTGAGTCGTCCATGAGGACATCGATAGGTGAGTCGGGAACAATACTTTCGGCATCCATGCGATCTGATATATCGCTATCGGTTCTAGTGTCTCTCTTATTCTGATCAGGGATGGCAATACGCCGATGAAGTGGTAGGTTCCTCGGAGTAAGTGCTTGCTGGAAATTTGGAAGTAATCCCATGTTGCTCTCAAGATGCACAACCACCTGCTCGTACAATACCTTGGCCATCAGATGCGAAAGGTCTCTAGCGGGACTTCTCTTGCGTTCTTGCTGTAAAGATCTGCTAAAAGAAAGGCATCCATTGACGGCAGCAACGTAGTGTTTGAGTCCCCATCTGTTCCGAAGATCATATATGCTGTCGCCCAGAGCAATTTCGATTTCGTCTGCAGACTCAGCTGTCACAGCAATGCCAGCTTCGATTGACTTTCCGGTCTCGATCTCGACCAGCACGCGGGCAAATGAAATCACCATCAGCTGGCAACTGCGTAGGTCGGGCTCCAACACGAATCCAGAAAGCGAGCATTTGATGTAGGGGGAATGTATGTCCACGACCATCGCCTCGTCGTCCTTTTGAAGAAAATAGATGGTCTCAGAATCCCACGCTCGTTGCATACACGGACCTGTGAACAGGTGTAGAAAACACCGAGCTAGTGATAGTGCAAGAATGGCCTTGTCACCCTGTTCGAAACCAGCTTTGTCGCGTGAAGGCCGGAAGAGGCCACTGTCCAATAATGAGCTCAGCGAAACTCTGGGATACGCATTGTCGTGAGTTTGAGCTTTCTCGATCGCTGTTGCGTTCCAAAGATGATCGTTGTCGAAGCGAAGATTTAGCAACCGCGTTTTCGACTGGTCTTTACGATGGGAATGTAAAGCGCCGCACAGGTCGGCAATGAAGGCACCCTTTTTACTGTGGGTTCTGAGATGCGTGTTAGCTAGTCACAAGCAAGAAAATCGTACGAGGCGCACCTCGGAACAGAGGTGCAGCTGCATTCTTTCCATGTGGAAGATGCAACAGTGGCAGCGCAAGTTGAGAGATACACCTTGAAAGGCGTAAGATTTTCCACATCTTCAATTTCGAAGCCATTGAGCCGTAGCATTGCCCAATGTGAAGCGCAAGGGAGCAGTCTTTTTCTCAGTATGCCAAACAAACGGGTAGACGTGTTCCATGGCTCGCGATTGTCCCATTGAGTAGCCCTAACAGTTGGGTTGCTATCATAGCTAGAATCTTCAGACTGGTCTGGCCTTTTTAGAGACTCCAGGCAGGCAACCAATGCAGAAACCCTGTACTGACCATCTTCGAGATAATCGAACGAATGTTTCAGTGAGAGTAAGTGGCGACAGGTATCGGCCAGATCGTCCCCGTTCCGCTGGCATTTCACAATAGCCCTTTCCAGCGCTTCTAGCTTCGGAAAAGAGGTTAGTCCCTGCTGATATAGTCTATCCTCCTCAAAGAAAGGTAATGTGGCTAAGCTGTCCGTGTTTGGTACTTCTAGAACTGGAACATCGCGCTCGTCTAGAGACGGTGTGGGGGGCAAAATGGTTTGCCACCAAGAGAACAACGGGCTTGCGAGATATGCGGACGCAAAAGAGCTAGATTCTGCAACCGAATCCGCCCGGCTGTTCTTCTGAACACATGATCAGTAGTGTTCTTCCCTTGTACTACCATTCTTGCGTACTTTTCGTGCTGAACCAACTGACAGAAGCTCAGTTCCTGGCTCTTCAACCCGGACGACGTTTTCCAAGAAGTCTAGTAACCCGGTGAGGGTTTCAAAAAGTGATTGAGACTCATTCTCTGAGAGGCGTCGCTCCGGGAAGTTCTTCAGCGTGCTCTTCATGTCGGCCGAGAAACATTGAACGAAGATCTGGACTTCGATCGCCGTGCCACTCGCGCCGCCCTCTTCACTACCACCTGATGTATCTGCCTGCCATGGTAGCGGTAGAGCAAACAATGGCTGCACTGTCTCAAAGACACACCATGCCGATTCCCAATCGCCCGGCCGCACGTACATTGCCACCCCGTGTCGCAGGGAAGTCGCTGATGACGTGCTGTCGCAGAATCGCAGATCAATTAAAAAGTGCACATTGGCGTGCGCGAAAGATAGAATCTGTATGAGCGGAAGTGTTGATAGCAAAAAGAGGTTCAGACGTTTACCTGTACGGCTGGATGATGTTGTGAGCTATGCATGACGCGAGTCTGGGCGGCGAGCATGATTGCGGCGCAGTTTCCCAACAGGTAGTACATGTGACTACCCCACCTTCCTTTCCGAACATGTCTTGAACGATGCGCCGCTTTGAAGGTGACGCCTGAGGCCCAAAAGCAGAATAATCCTTTTCAGTATCCTCGTTACTCAGCATAAGCGACAACAAGATCTTTCCGTGCTTGCCCGTGCGAGAACCTCTTCAAGAAGGTGCCTGCAGCCAGCCTAGCCTCAAACGTCCTGATGCTTACCCGTGTTAATTTACCACGCGCTGCTCGACTGTATGTGCGATTCGAAGTCTAGGCTCGTACCTTCATCTTGGTGATGTACTCACAAAGCGACCCAGAGTGCATACTCATTTCCGCCCATCTCTCCTACCCACTCCACCTTCTCCACCAGGCGCTCAAACTTCAGAAGCTTCTGCGCCAGATGTTGTGAAAGAGGATGCGGGCACGAGCGACCAACAGTAATGATGCGTTGTAACCAACAAGTAGCACAAAAGAGTCATGACTATGAACCACGAGAGTGACTCATCAAAGCTTTAAAAGCAAACGTTGGTTCAATCAAGCATGTCCATTACACGACATGGACAGCACCGAGATTTTCGATCTGGCTAGCGAATGCTACAAGCTCTTTCGAGAGACCTTCCCCGAGGATACGCTACCTCCGGATGCCCAGATGCCACTATACCGCGCCCTTTTCCATTGCCGGTCACGATTCGAGACCTGGGCTGGCTACACGAATGCATTGGAAAACGGCGAGGATTCTTTGGACAAACAACTTGAGTTCAGTCCTGCAGATGACTTGCAGATTGTGGTCAGTATGCTGGAACTGATAAGGCTCAGCTTACAAGAAGGCAAGAGATTGCGTCACATTACCAATTAGTCCGAGACTGACGTAGATAGACTTGGTGTCTGGTTGCGACGCGCATGGAAGAAGTGCAACGCGTACCGAAAAATCCCAAGCTGCGAAGTACGCCGTGCTGCGAGCGATCCCCCCCTCGCTAACACTATCATGCCTAACAGCCATCCATGAGGCTATGGATAGGCTACAACGGGCGTCGGACACAAAACTAAGGGACAAAGACGGCTTCGACAGAGTTGCGGCCGCGGTCGTCAAGGGCGCATACCCTGATCTGCCTGAGACACTAGTCCAACAGCTAGGCTCATCTATCGCACGCAGGCGTGCTCGCTTACTCCGTCAGAGGAAGCATCAGCACGACCTTGATCTCCAACGACAACAGGGTTACGACGCACAGACTGTGGCGGCCGAGGACACCAAAAGTGTTGCGCAGGCACAAGATAAGATGATGGCTGCTCTGGAGAAATTGTCTGTCACCGAGCATCCTGTGTTGGAGCCGAAGAAGCTATCGGATGATGCTTCGACACAGCAGAAGGTCGGGTCTGGCACCACTACAGCATCCTCAGCAGCCCTTTCATATCCACATCCTTACCCGGAACCTCCGACGCCATTAGAAGATGTCGATCACGTCCGGTGCAATTGGTGTTTTGAACAAATCAGAGCTGGGGGCCCTCAGCGTAGAGGATGGTGGGAGTATGTTGTTTTTGAAGGTATCGCGTATTGCGTGGATGCAAGCTTACGATGGGTAGATCGCACTTCGATCAAGACCTACAGCCCTACACATGCATCTCCGAAACATGTCAGAAGCCACCATTGTACTTCTCTAGCATGTACAGATGGCAGGAACACATGAAAGAGATGCACACCACCTATTGGACTGAAAATATCCACAGATCCAAGGTCTGGTACTGCGACCTGCATCTAGACGAGGAAGTACATGTAATGCACGAGACATTCCAAAGTGAAGAATCTCTCCGCCAGCATCTGAAGGATGACCATAGAGATCTTCCGCCGCTGGAGATTGATACTAAGGTCCGACGGAACACTAGGCGCCCATCTCGATCGTGGGATATTTGCTTGTTCTGTGGCTTCGACGCCGGCGCCAAAGTAGATCCGGACAATGAATGTGGAGCAGAGAAGGAGTCGAGCACAAGGTATGCTGGACTTAGAGCGCGGAAGGCTAGAGATATGGCTAGGCTGGTACTTTGGAACCACATTGCCCAGCATCTCAAGAGTCTAGCTTTCATATCGCTGAGATGGTGCGAAGATAAGAAGGTCAATGCCGAGGGGGTTGATGTAAAGACGAATGCTGCGTCGAGGGGAGGATCTAGCGAAGACGAGGAAGCGGCATCGGTGGCGGGGCAGTGAGCCCGGTCGTACGAGGCTGATCAGACAGCCTTCGATATAGTATCACATGAGCACTGAGCATCGATGCCTGCTTGAATATTAATTGCGAAAGTAGAGGTGAAGGAAGATCGCGGTTGACGAACAATTAGGCCGATACGTACGATAGCGCGATTACTCAACATCCCGTTCCGAGGTTCCGAGGAACGCGTTGCGCGTCTTCCCCGCATCGAAGCTAATCATGCAACCAGCACCAACCCTACGAGCTATGCACAACAAGCTTTAGTAGTAGATAACTCACCACCTATATCCACGACAAGATGTGAAGACAAGTGACGACACCGCACCCAACAACCCCCCTCCTCCTCCAACATCACCACAATGTCTAAGAACACCTCCAACAAACCCGTCATCGCCGTCGTAGGCGCAGGCCCAGGCATCGGCGAAGCAGTAGCCCACCGCTTCGCCTCCGAAGGCTTCGTCGTCGCGCTCCTTGCACGTACAGAAGAAGCGCTGCAAACCATGGCCGCGAACATCAATAGCGACGTTGGCACCGGCACAGCACATTACTACATCACAGACCTGCGCATCGAAGACACAGTAACATCATCTTTCAAGCGCATCCGCGAAGAGCTAGGCCCCGTCAATGTACTCGTCTACAACGCCGGCGCGCGCCGCGTAAATGGGCGTTCGCTCATCGATACCACATCAGAGGAATTCGAGAACTTCACCAAGATCAATCTCTTCGGCGCGTTTTGGGCGAGCAAGCTGGTCATTCCTGATATGCTTGCCGCGGGCAAAGGTACCATCCTTTTCACCAGCGCGACAGGCGCGTTGCGCGGTATGCCGGGCCTGGCGTCGTTCTCACCCGGAAAGTTTGGACTGCGCTCGTTGTGTCAGGTGATTACGCGCGAGTATCAGGCGAAGGGTATTCATGCTGTAAACATTATTGTGGATGGGCCGGTTGATGGGAAGTTGATTGGGGGTGTGATGAAGAGGCAGTGGGAGCGGACTGGGCAGACGGACAAGGCAGCCGATGTGGACAGCCATCTTGTTCAACCGAGGGATTTGGCGCATACGTACTGGTTCTTGCATACGCAGCCGAGGAGTACGTGGACGCAGGAGTTGGATGTTAGGGCTATGAAGGAGACGTTGTTTACGAAGCTGTAGTTGGATGGAAAATTGTAGTAGCATTTATCGATGTGTTCTGTCACAAACATCTGAAAGGGTATAAGATTTCATTGTAATGCGACATCTTCACTGCTTATCTACTGCGAATAACGGGCTCGGTATAGCCCCTTTACTGTGTTACAATACTGCGTTGACTAGACCGCGTTGTGGGCTCTGCTGAGGCATCGACTCCAGTCTCTCCCCAAAAGAATGATGTGACATCTTCAAGGCCTACAAGTGAGCTTTCACAGTCTTCTCGGCTTCTTCCGCTTTAGCTTGCTCAGCAAGTACCCTCCGCAGTATCTTGCCCGCATTGCTCTTTGGTATCGCTTCCACAAAGCGGATACCGCCCCTCAACTTCTTGTGCGGCGACACACGCTCGTTAAACCACGATTGTAGCTCTTCCTGCAGCTTCTCATCGCCCTTGTACCCCGCTGCCACAACGACATACGCTCTCGGTAACTCCGTCACCTTCGACTCATCGTACACGCCAATCACGGCGACATCAGCGACCGCCGGGTGACCAATCAAGAGAGCTTCGAGTTGCGCCGGCGCGACCTGGAAGCCATTATACTTGATGAGCTCCTTGACACGGTCGGTGATGTACAGGTTTCCATGTTCATCGAACTTTGCAACATCGCCGGTGTGATACCATCCCTCCGCATCGAAAGCCGCAGCCGTAGCCTGGGTGTTGTTGTAGTACCCTTTGAAAATGTTCGGCCCTTTCAAACACAGCTCACCTTCTTCGCCCATCCCCATCTCCTTTCCTTCACTCACGACCTTGGCTGACATGCTGGGCAACAAGCATCCGGATGTGCCCAACGCCGTGGTCCAGGTTTCGATGCGTTGCACGCTCACGGCTGGTGCGGCTTCAGACATGCCGTAGACTTGGAGTATTTGAGCGCCGAGGCGCTTGTGTATCGCGGTGATGACGTCGACGGGTATTGGGGCGGCAGAGGAATGCAGGTCGCGCAGGGACGTGAGGTTGTACTGGTCGACAATCGGGGCCTTTGCCAGAGCGAGTGCGACGGGCGGAACGATGTAAGCGATGGTGACTTTCTCTTTGTCGACCGTCTTGCAGAATCTCTTGAGGTCAAATCCTGACATGATGTGATTGGTCACGCCGTAGAAGATGGTGTTTAGCAGTAGTGTAGCAATTCCTGCCTTTTATCAGCGCATGTTTGATTGTGAATTTGTTGAACTTACCGTAGATGTGATACATGGGTAGGAAGCCAATACCGGTATCAGTTTTCCAGTTGGTGTTGTAGCCATTTGCCGTCGTAGCCTGAATGCTGTTTGCCACGACGTTCTCATGCGTCAGCATGACACCCTTTGGCTCGCCAGTGGTTCCAGAAGAGTACACCAGGTACGCCAGATCTTCTTTGGGGTCGATTTTGACTCTGTTCATGCTGACTGACGCGCTTTTCAGAGAAGAGAAGTGCCGAACGGATCCCGATGTCTTGTCATCTCCGACCAGGAGTATCCGATCCAGAGGAAGGCCGACTTTCGATGCTGCCTTGCAAGCGACCTCAAGACATGCCGCATTTGTCAACAGTCCTTTGGCTTTCGAAGATGTTAACTGAGACACAAGCTCATCGACGGTGTACATGAAGTTGAAAGGACACACGACACCTCCAGCAAGTAAGGCGCCGAATGTAGCAGGCGCGACATCGATATCATTCGGCGTCATGATTGCCAAAACATCGCCTTTGCGCCATCGCCATTGTTCCTGGAGGCCCTTCCCGAACGTCTCCGCGGTGGACCGTAAATCAGAATATGTAAGCTTTCGACCGCTGGCAACGTCTACGAAGAGCACTGCTATAGTGTTAGACGCCGCTGGATGGATGTATTTCAAGACATACCATGATCATCCGGGTACTCGCGGTCCGGTCGCTCGAGAAAATATGTCCATACATCGACGGCGGGTATGGTAATGGGCGGGTATGACGACTCAATCGGCATTGTTAGCAGTATAAGTATAGCAGGAATGACTGGTTATGGTGCAGCGTTCAGCTCGAAATAGATGTTATATTTCCCATCGACGTGATCGTCATTGAAGTAGCGCGTTCAAACATTAGGGTTTGGTACTTCAATGGCTACGTCCGTAACACTAACGCGTCAGCGGCGATCGCATGTGATTAGTCGTGGGTACCCAAGTCGGCACCGTGAGACCTCGGGAGAAACCATTGACATGGGCCCAGCGCTCCAGTAACGGGCAAAATATCCTCCGCCTATATACAGGCATTTGGGGACTGCGAGAGCATAATATGACGCGATAGCTGTAATCCTGAGCCCCTGTGCTTAGGTACCGGCTCAATTGAGCTCACACAAGCAGTATCGTGAGTTTGGGTGAGAGGCGATCGCCTGTCTCTGCGGATGAAGGGTCATGTCGTAGATTGAGCTGAGGACGCGCACATTAGTGTGTTGTTGCTGATGAAGGTAATATCGAGTTCGGCGGGATCGGACCTCGGGAAGCTGGGAAAGCGCGCCAACCGAAAGCAGACTAGGCGATCATCACGTGGTCCCGGCAGATTTCCGCAAAGTCCGTCTCGCGCAAGCAACACCAAAAGACGACACATTCTTCACATGCACGAAACGACATCACATAAGACATCTGGAACACTGTGAATGCCTTCCTTTCGTTCCCTTCTTCAATCATGAGCCTCCGCTATGACGCCTAGCAGGCCGACGCTCGTCGCATGATCTCCCGACGCGTCAAGCTCCGCGACAGCTCAGCAGCCACGCCAAATAACATCAGAAACATCGCACATAACTTTTGATCTTCCTCCGCCATCCTCATCTCAATATTCCTCGCACAAATACCTTCGCCAAGCCCTGTGTTAATCGCTTTCCAATGCCTTGACGCGTTCCGCCGCAGCCTCTAGCATACGCGAATCTTCTTCGCAGGTGCGCCCTCGTCGACTTCTGCGCCCATGGTCTCCTTCCGCTTTGACTCATTGCGATTGACCGATGCTTCATCGCTATCATCCGTCGCAAACACCTCGCCTTCTTCGTCCGAGCCATTTGGGGCACCGTTACCGTCTTCCGGGGTGGATGCAACGTCTTCTTCAGCGGTCGTCGCATGCTTTGCGAAGGTTTTTAGCACGCGAACGAGTGACATAAGGCCATCATCCCGACCCTTGTTCTCGAATGTCTTGTACTCTGTTGCATAACCACAATACAGGAGAACGAACTTCAGGAGCGCCTTGATATTGAGGGAGAACGGCGAGATCATGCCACTGCCGTTCAGCCTGCCGAATACTCCGTCGCCCTTGATGACCCTTGCGTTCTTGACGTATGTGTTACGGGAAGAGTCTGTCGTCGTTGAATAATACAGGCCCATCTGCTTCCTGATAGCGTTGTTCTCTCGTACTGTGTTGTTGTACCTGGTAGAGGGTTGGTCACGCTCGTCAAGCCAAAGTAAGTCTCCGATCTTCTTAGACTTCTTCTTCACGGCAAAGCCGACCTTGAGCGCGTATTGACCCGGACGGTACTCTCGAACCTCGAACGCCTCAGGAGCTGGGAAAGTGGCCAGCGCATCCGGGCAGGACTGCTGGAGCGATGCGAGTACCTGCTCTTTAGTGAGAACTTCCGAGCCCTCCTTCACGTCGTAACTTGGCTTCCGCACTTCTAAATGTCGAGGCTCGTCGAACCCTATTCCCAAAAATCTAGGATAGCTCATCGTTCGGTTGGTGGCTGGCTTAGGTGATTGGTATGCAGAAAAAGTGTGTGTGGTGTAATGTAGGGAAGATGGGCTACGATGTTATGAGTAGGCTCTGGATATCGAGGTGATGGCGAGTATTTGATCCTATCGAGATCGCGTCCATCCACGTGGTAGTGAAGGCAGACTGAAATGGCGAGCCATCGCTCTCGTCCTATAGGAAGTAAAGCTTCACCCCAACAACAGAATCCTTCCACCGATGTTGAAGGTGCAGCCACTATTCTTTGTCGTCGCAGTCGATCGCCCGAACTACCGGTTTCGCAACCTTCACTATAGCCTCTTTGACAGAGCCACCGACCGCCTCCCAGTGCTCGCCAAGCCAAGTCATATACAAGTCAAGGTCCGTGTGGTGCAGTCCAGGCACCTCATGCAGCAGCTTTCGGACAAAGTCACGAATATCGCCACCTTCACTACTACCGAACAACGCTGCGTGTGCGGCCTGGTACAGCGCAGACTTGGACGTATACTTGCCGTCACCGTCTACTCCAGTGATCTCGACCATTGCGTCGGCGTAGATCTCGCGGTACATCTGTAGCGACAAAGGAGAGTGCGGCGCATCGAGAACTTCGTACCCTGGCATCCAGTCTAATGTCAAGAACTTTGGAAGGGAAGCGTAGCCGAGGCAGCGTGGGGCGATGGAAGCGCGCTCCCAGTCGATGATACCGGTCACCTCGCCTGTTTCGGGATCGCAGAAGACATTCTGGAGGTTGAGGTCGTCGTGACGGAGTACGAAGGTCTCCTCACTATCCCCGGGCTTGACAGATTTCGCGAAAGCGTCGCTTCGAAACAATGCATCCAGGACTCCATGGATGACGCCGGGCCTTCCTTCATGTCCCTCGAACGGCCAGACATCAAGCAGACCATCCGTGTAGAGCTCCAAGCCTGAGTCGTACACTGGCTTCTCAGTAAGAGCCTTTTCAGTGGCCATGTCTTCCGCTATCAGTTCTGGGTCGATATTCCATTCCCAGAGCGAACCAACGGTAGGCTTTCCGTTTGCGTCAACATTGTCAAAGCACAGCGCGCCGATTTTATCAAACTCAAGATGGCGCAGCTCAGCCATGGCTTGAGCCAGCGAACGAAGCATGCGCGAACGTTTCGCCGCCAGTTCCGCGGAAGGAAAGTCGACTGTGTCCCGATCCCAGTCTTTATGAATGGGGTGAGCGTCGTGCCAGACTTCAGAGGCGGATCTGCCTGTGCAGGCCTTCATCAAGATGTAAGGCGCACCTAGCGTGTTGTCCAGCTTGTCGTCATAGGCCACGACCTCAGGGACGGGACACTTGGTGCGCTCGCCAATAAACTCAATAGTGCCAAAATCCGAACGAAGCATATACGCATCCTGCTTCTGCCAGCGAGCAGCGGTGCCGACGCAAGGAATCTTAACCACATATTCACCGTCGTTAGGGCTATTGATAACCCGGTATATGCGGACGAAGTTGTAGCCACCCTCAAATTCGCCGCAGAAGAGATAGTCATCTTCGCAGTACTCGGAACAGGGGTTGAGATGTTGCCAAAGGGTTTTCTGGAAGTTCGAATGGTCAAGCGCACGGAGTGGCTCCCAGTCCGCGCGATCAAGCGCTTCGCCATCAGAGCACGCGCTTGTTAAAGAAGAGGTTACCGAACCGCCCGACTTAGGCGTGGATGATTTATAGTCTTCAACCTCCTCGTCAGATTTGGCACCGCTGGGCGAGACAGCATTTTCGCGCTGGATGAGGGCGACGATTGCGGAGTTGTCATTGCCGCAGGCACGCTCAACTACTTTGAACCAACCTTCTCCACTATCCGTCGTAGTTTCGGGCATAAGCAACCGCTGAGGTAGCTCGGGCAGCGTTTCGATGATGGTGCAGACACCAGAGATAACGTTGAGGCTTGGTAGCAAACGCGCGGCTGTTTGTGAAGCAACGGCTTCGTGCGACACATCTGCTCGCTGTGATACTTGGCTTCTACGATGGCGCGCAAATCGATCGCGGAACTTTTCGTAAGCGATGGATAGTACTGTGGGTAGATCACCATTCCGCTTGCCGGAACGATCGCGGGTTTTGAGATCGTTTACGATGCTCGGCGCAGGCGGTGTCTTGCGAAGCTTGGTCTGAGGGCTGTCCTGAGGGCGCTTGGAGCTGAAGCTGGAGGCCAGACCAGGAAACAAAGATGTTAGACCGAAGTGCATGTTGGCACAGATACTTGGGGATGATTATCGGCTGGAGTTGGCGTGATGTTCGGTCGGTTGGCTGAGTGTCAAACTACCCGTAGTAAGGTAGTGTTTCGGGGTGGAGAGAATATATAGGACTCGAAGAAGTGAGCAACATACACACAAGTCTCACGGACTGGAACCAGCGCCAAAGTGGAGCCCGAGCTTGTCTAGCCCGTGAATTGCGCGGCGTAGTGAATGATGTACATGTTGACAGATGGAAACGAATCACCACGTAGCAAACGCTACGCAAGTATCCTATCCAAGCGAAAGGTTACTTCGAAATGGCTGCAACAGTGACTCGTCGTCGCATATACGATCTCTGCTATGGTCTTCCTTTCGATGTCCAGTGAATTCATGCAGAAATGTCGAGGCAGTTACCTATGTTATTTGAGTCTCCACACTTCAAGCGTATACTAGCACAGATCGTGGCGACGCATGGAATCAGCTCAGCTCAATGAAACGCGTCTACCAGAAGGCAGCCATGTTGTACGAGAATGCCTCGGCGCTGCAAGGATTTCAGTCTCTATACACTCTCGCCGTACTCACTACCGCCCAATATACACCTGCATACAGTTCCAACCTTGATTTAACCCAAAGATTAACCAACATGGTAAAGCTCGCAGGAGGATGGATAGACCTCAACGAGAGATACGGAGAAATGTTCAGAGGCGACTTCAACCCCAACATCTGCAACAAGAACACCCTCAAAGTCTTGGGCTTGACACACCATTGCAAGGACTGCAAGGTTGGTACACACTGCGGTATTCTCTGCACCCCCTGTCCACTCTGACTGACCGCCGATCAAGGCGCCCCCACAGAAGAAGTGCTTTTGGCAACTACATTTCGGTCTGTATAGTAACAAGCGCGGCCATAAAAGGAGCTGACGAATCCAAAAGCGTTCTGCGACGAATGCGGCGAGCGCTTCACGGTCTGGTCCAGGGGATGTGGTAAACATCCTTACAGCCACGGCTACAACATTATCTTCAAGGCCGTACGTGATGACTGGCCGGCCTCGGAGATAGAGCGACTACTGGCAACAAGTGGTAGTATCCAGGACGAGGGCCTCGCAGATCTAATCGACAACGATGGCGCCTCCCCCGATCCAGACCCCGAGGACGACGATGTTGCTGAGCTCGCTGGAATGGTCGCAGACGCCGATGTCAGTACGAACAGCGAAGCCATCGAAAACGCTACCTCTCCCCAGACGACCCCAGTGTCTGAAGCCGACCCCAACGTCCAAGTTGAACAAAGTGTCGCGTCGTCTCGCCCTGTCCCCATAGGCAAGACTTCCAAAATGTCGCAATGGCTTCCCACTGGGCTCAAGGGTAAAGGCGCCAAGGGCATGAGACAAGCGCGTGCGGCGACCGGAAGAAAGATACGTCGAGATACAGAAGCTGCTGTGCAGGCCGAGATAGCTGCGGATGAACGCGTGAAAGATGCGCAGAGAGCCAAGAGAGCCGCCGACGTAGCCAAGAAAGCAGAGCAAGAGAAGATGCGGATGGGGAGAACTGGCCATAAGAAGAAGTAGGTTTTGCTTGGCCGCCTCGTTCAAGTTGTGCAATTACAGTTGAATTGGGAGTCTAGGGCATGGGCGATGACGCTGCTCGGCGTTTGTTTCGCGCGTATGGGATATGTAGGAGACGACATGAATTGAGATAATGATACGTATTATGCGCATGTATTCAGAACCAGCTGTGATGCTACCAGTACGATCAGCCATCTGAATCGCAAAAGAACACTACAACGCGACTTACAATACTCCATATCGCATTGCCACTCAGCTTCCACCACCCATAACCTTGGTCAAGCTCATGGGCAGGAAATTGCCAAGCCCAAGACCACCCCCCTCCATGCCACGCAGCACCTTGCGCATCGCAGTGCCACTTTCCCCCTTAGAACCCGACCCGTATACAAACTCCGCTACCATCCTTAGCTGCATAGGCGCCTTATCATCGCCGTAGTGGCTGATCATCTCAGCCTTTGTGACCTTCTTCCGCACATCGTTCCATTCGCCGCTCTCAGCGAACTTCTCGCACTCCTGCCGGTGTTCGGCGTTCCACCACGGAGGTAGCAGACCCCGCCGAGTCTCAGCCAAGTCAAGGAACTTCCGGAATGGCTCGATGCTTGAAGACTTGCCCGTATAGATGCTGTTCGGTGTGGGTTTATTCTCCAGCTTGTTATCGTCTTCGGATCGCATGCGGAAGGAGTCGATGAGGAGTCTGTAGACATCCTTTTCAGGGCGGTCGTGGAGGTATTTTCCGTCGTCTAATCGTGTAAACGGATTCGGTACGTGCTTCTCGAGGGTCTTCATGCGAGGCGCGGCGTAATTGGAGCTGTGTTCGGTTTTGGGTGGGAAACCATCGTAGGCATTGGCATTGGCTTGCGCTTGCTGGGCGCAGATCTTCTTGTGGTTCTTCCAGTCATCTTTCTGGCAGTCGCGGCTGCAGTATGGTGTTGTCTTGCACTTAGCGCACCGCTGAAGTGTGCCTTTCTCGGTATCAGCCTCGGCTTTGTTGCATCGGGCGCAGTTGGACGGCATCTCGCTCTCGCTCGTGCTCGTGGTGCTGGTTTCTTTGGATCCGAACGGATTTGGGACGAATAGCCAGACGAATACTGCAATGAGTACCCAGACAAGCGTTGAAGGCATGATGAAGTGTACGGCACGTTGACGAGCTGGATTAATATATTGAAAGAGGGGGAATTCGGTCCGTAGAGAAGACGCCCACAATGTGAAAGCAAAATCTCGCGATCAACGTCATCGTCCTAAAACACGCTAAGGAATTAAAGTGGGGTCGAAGATTCCATCCCGCCGCTCCACGTTCCCGCCACGTACTCACGTGCTCTGGCGTACACGTGCTTCTACAGCCACGTGCCTCAGCTCCTTCTGAGCAGCATAAAATTCGCAGTATCTCAATCTTTCTAATCTTTCGTTCTTGAAAATGAGTACTTCGTGATTGATGGGCGGTGTAACACTCCCGAAAAAAGCAAATGGAATATTCGAGGCGTGGCGCATGCGGGACGAGCAGCTCCGAAACACGCATCGTCGGCGCCCGCGTGATCATATGTGCCTTCTCATCATCCATCCAGACATTTTATACCATGACGAAGGCTCCTCTCATGTCACGATCAGCATCTCAACACATCGCGGTTGCGGGATGCCATCCTTACGTATAGAAGCATGTGCGGGGATAGACGATGAGAGGCCGGATGCGGGGAAGCTACACGCGTCTATCTCCCCACTTACGACGTAGTTAACGGTCGATAACGATTACAAGAGCGCGACGACTGGATGTGTGTACATTCAAGGAACGCCTGATTGCCATTCATTCCATATAAATGGCCATCTTTTTCCGCAGAAATCTGGCGAGATAGCAGAGTTCCATGCTACCCTTGAAGCACACACACCACATCCAGCAACAACATCATGCAAAACCCATCCGTAGTCTTGTATGGGCCGAAGAATGCAAAGATCGAAGATATCGCAGTGCCAGAGGTCATTGACCCCCACGATGTGATTGTTCGCATCAATTATGTTGGAGTTTGCGGAAGCGATGTAAGATCACCCATCATCATGCCACACCCCATCAACCATCTAACCAAACACTCAGGTCCATTTCTGGCACCACGGCGGCATCGGCAAAATGATAAACCCCTCCACCGGCATCGTAATGGGCCACGAAGCCTCCGGCACCATCCACTCCGTCGGCCCATCCGTCAAAAGCGTCAAACCGGGAGATCGCGTAGCTATCGAACCAGGCATACCATGTCGTATTTGCAAAGCGTGCAAATCTGGGGTGTACAACATGTGTCGCGACATTCGTTTTGCTGCGGCGCCAGGGCCGCCTGATACGCAAGGTACGCTGTCGAAGTACTTCCGCAGCGCGGAGGACTTTGTGTACAAGATTCCCGATAAGATGGGGTTGGATGAGGCGGTGCTTGTTGAGCCGCTTGCGGTTGCTGTGCATGCGGTCAAATTGGGTGATGTGAAGCCTGGCGAGACGGTTGTAGTGATGGGTAGCGGGACGATCGGATTGTTTTGCGCGGCGGTCGCGCGTCAGTTCGGTGCGCATCGCATCATCATTGTCGATATCCTGGAAAAGAAACTAGAGTTTGCAGCGAGCTACTTGAAGTGCGAGACCTTCCGTTCGTCCCTCGACGCAAGTCCAGAAGACAACGCCGATGCGCTACTCAAGAAGTTCGACCTTGTTGAGTATGGCATCGACACGACTGGCGGTCTTGTCGACACAGTCATCGAAGCTTCCGGTGCGACAACGAGTATCGACATGGGCATCAATCTTGTGCGCCCAGGTGGGAAGTATGTCCAGACCGGGCTTGGGAAGCCGAAGATCGAGTTCCCGATTGTGGCCATGGGCCAGAAAGAACTCATGGTGAGGGGGTGCTTCCGATACGGTGCAGGGGATTACGAGCTTGCGGTGGGTTTCTTGGAGAAGGGACTGATCGATGTGAAGCCGTTGATTAGTTCGGTGACCCCGTTTGAGAAGGCGACCGACGCATGGGAACAGACTTCAAGAGGAGAGGGTATCAAAAATTTGATTCGAGGGGTGGAGGGCTGATGGTTAATGTGGCTCAAGAGAAAGAAATTTCTTCTCAATCCATCTGCAACACGACTTTAACAACCAAGCGTCTGTCCTTGCTTCGTCGAGCGTGCGTTGTCCATCCTCCAGACACATTTTGCCCACATCTTCAAATTTCTCCATGTGTGGTACACGCACTCAGTATCACGGTCCAAACAACAGCCCACCTTGCTATTGGGGATATCTGGGCGACGCTCGATTTTCTTAACAAGCCTTCTCAATGTCGTTCCTTCATGTGCAAAGTTCAATGAATCCGCGTGGCTCCATCGAAACCCCAACGGTGGAGCGACCAAGTCTACCAGGTTTGCGTATCCATCAATCCAGAATACCGGGCAGGCTTGTCGAGCATTCTTCTTCCAGTGTTTTGGACAGACCTGGTCGAGCATGTCCGTGAGATAGAGGAACATGCTCATCTTAAGTCTCCCATATGTAGTATAGTGGGTATCGTGGTGTACATTGTCGCCTCTAGTGTGCTGAAGCTCGACAGCAACACAGATCTCGTCTACCTCAGTACCGTCATGAGTAGTTCCCTTCAGATTGAGCAACCCGTTCATGTTGATGCGAACATCTGTGGGGTTAGTGGCGCGGGTGAGTGCCACTTGGACTAAGATCGTTGGTAGTGCGGACGTCGAATACAGGCTTTGAGAGGCGATCAGTTCCACCAGATGATTCCGATGCCCGCCTTCGCGGACCCCCACCTCAGCGTCATATCTTCTCACCAAATCCGCGTCGCTGTAGTCACTGACCCTCTCTTTAGCCGTAAGCTCTATGACCACCGGCATGTATTGACTAACAGCTTGAACTAAAGATTCCCGGAGTGTGGCAGAAACATTGAAAACATTCCGATGGAAATTGAGTTTCCGGGCGGAATTTATGGGAAGCCGAAGACGATCTTCCGCGGTGATTGCATAAGCACAGATCATGCCTTGCACATCGTCAGGAAGATCCGTAAGTGAATTGACTGGCCTCGCGGCGGACCATCTGACCACGCCAGACGCTGGGTGGATAGAAAAAGAACGATGAACACTTCGCGATCCTGTGTAGTACTGGACCTGGCCGTCTTTGCTGACACGGTGCATAGTGACTGACGAGAGAAGCAATTCTGAGTTGGAAAGGCGTCGAAGATCTAACGTTTCATCCTTGGCAAGAGCCGCGAACGCCTTGTTCAGTCGGACAGTGCCTGCTACGATATCCGCAGGACTCGTGCTGTTGGGATGCATGCTTCCGGGACATTTGAATAGGGGTCTAGGGTGGGCGAAGGTAATGCTACAGCGTGGTAGGTCTCCGTTCCAGACTATCCGTAGTAACGGCAGTAGGTTTTGGTTCATTTCGGCCTTGCCACATCCAAAACTGCAGACAGTCGAGATGTCGATCACTACCTTTTTTATCAACCTCATCTGAGAGCCAAGTGAGGTGAGCCAAATTGGCGCATAGTTGATCTGGTGGTAGTCATCCCGGTCGCTGGCTTGACACCGCCTGATTGCTTCGCGGTCACACCTCTGACCAACTCTGGTAACGAGGAAGGTGTTGTTGGCGTACAAGATGCCAACCGTTTCGTGATACATCTGGCGACAAGACTTCAGCAGGCCGATCCCAAGAGATGCTTCATGCCTGAACCCCTGCGCTTCTTTCCATTCAGAGTCTTGCCTCTTCTGCCAATTCTTCAGGCTGCGGGGAACATGCCTGCCCTTCCGAGAACCATAGCCCACTCTGTCATCTTCTGAGCTGTCATCGGCGAAAGACTCATCGTCTGCACGAATCTCATAAGGCCGTCGGTCGTAGTAGAAGTCGGAGTTATGAATGCGTATTCCAGGTCGTCGTGGCAGCACGAACACGTTTTCGTTGATGGTGTTGCGTACCTCCGCCGGTAGCGTCAGGAAGGACAGCGCGGACGGATCTAGAGGAGCCGAACAGCCTTTTGGAATTTCCATGGCAGTGTATGGAAAGATGTGTGCGAAACGATATTGACGAGAAAAATGGGTGTTGCGAGGCAAGACAGAGCTGATGGCGGTCTGAAGACAACTGGAAAGGGCGGCACGGTATTCAAGCTAGGCTGTTATAGGTTAGCAAGGAAACGCGAAACTCACGCGTGCAAACTTCCAGCGATGGCTCATGATGCTGCTAATGTCATTGATGCTACTCTTTGTCCATACCTAGCTATCACCGCATTCTCCGCCAGTTCTTGCAGACCACATCAGCACCAGTATCACGCCAAGGTTACCGCGCTTCTCCGATGGCGCGTCCAGAACTCCTGATGTCCCGCATTCTCCCCGGAGCATAGACCCACTCACAACCTTGGAATCCTTCAACGCCTCATCTTCTTTAGCGCATCATCAAGACTGCCCCAACCGACCTCCACACACCGCCTCAAATCGTCCCAAGCATGTATCAAGCACTCGTCGCGCCTATCTATCGGACACGCAAAGTCCATCAGCTCTGCGCGCCGCCGAATGACATCAGCCACCGAAGCAAGTTTCAACTTCTGGCCTCCCGAAAAGCCACGCACAGCATTGCTGCTCACGTCGGACTTCCATTTGGTTGCTCTTGTGCAACGAAACTCGTGCGGTTTCTCAATACATTTGAGGATGGCGCCGAAGCCGTTGATGCGTATGTTGGGTGTGTAATGTTGGCGCTCACGAGCATAGATGCTGTCGCGGAGGAGGTCGGTGAAGAAGAGGAAGACGGCTTGTCTTAGCTTCTCTATCGGTACTTCGCAGCATGCCCTCTCGTTTCCTTCGTTGTCCTTTATAATGATCTTGATGGTCGACCACATATTGGCTTTGAGTATGGACATGCTGCTCAGGAAGCGCACGAGACCTCTCATGTTAATCTTAACATCATCGAGACCTTTTTCGTCGCCCAATATGAAGTTGAGGTTGATGCTCTGGCCGCTGGTAAGCCCAAATTCGCCCCTGGCGATGTAGCTGATAGTTGTGTTGTTGATGGCCTCCGGCCAGAGCAGGGCGTCGAGTGCGCTAAATCTCTTGAAACTCGTCTCGGCTTCCTGACTGGTCATTGAGAGGGTTAACGAATACCCTGGTCGGATGAGAGACTTCACCGAACAGGGGACCAGACTGAGAAGGGTGAGATCAAGTCCGTGTGTAACATGCGCAGTCAGATCCACGACGATGCCTTCGGGCCCAAGTGCTGCATATCGAGCGATGATCTGTCGAATCGATCTAGGCAGGTCTGCGCGGGATTTTATCGGCTTCTTTGGGTTCCAGGAGACTTCTGCTCCTTTACTCAGAACAGTGAAGAACCTCAGCCCCGAGCGTTTGTACTTGACAAAGTGCCATTCAGATCGCGATCTTCCCACTCGTTTAAATTCAATCACGACACTCTTTAACGATCGCGAAACACGCCTTAGTCCAAGCATATCTTCTTTCCCGAGAGTATGTAAAAGAGTGTTGAGATCTTCGGGGACCGCTGTAGGGTCACTTGTACCATGAATATGCGCAGAAAGCGCTCTTCCTGTAGACTCAAAGACTATCTCGCATTTGGCTTCCGGGTGCGCCCACATGATGCGAAGGAGGGGGAGGACATCGAAATCGGCCGCCCACCGGCAATGGGATGGACACATGGCATCCGTGTCTATGACCACCTTGCGCAGGAAGCGGTAGTGATCTCCAATAGAACTCATCCATCGAGCAGAGTAGTTCAGTTGGTTGTATCTTTCGTTCGTGTAAAACATTGGTTCATACCATGCACGATATGCGTTTGTAAGATAGCTGATATCGTGTCTGTCGGTGCGTCGAGTGAAAGCGAACGTGTTGTGCCCGTAGAGCACTCCACCTGCCTCGGAACAAATCTGGCGACAAGATCTGAGTATACCGAGTCCATCCGAAAGGCCGTCGACAAATTCTGCTTTCAAAAATTGCAGATCCTTCGCGTCGTTGTCCATAGCTGCTGCCCATGCTTGACGGTCGCGTTCGTAATGGGAGATGCCTTCATATCGGCAGGTTTCGCACCGACAGGATCTCAGCTCGACATCGTCGTAGTCGTCTAGGTCCGGTGCTCGTGGAAGGAAGGCGTCGGCGTTATGTAAGAAGACGGGACCATCATTCTTGAAAAGCAGCTCGTAAACGGCGTTTCGTATCTCGGCAGGCAATTCTAAGAAGGAAGGTTTGCTCGGGTTGGCAGGGTGAGAAGTGGCTTGCATAGGCTCCACGATTGTCGCATTGTGCGATGTAAAACTGGCCATCGCAGGCGTCGATGAGACGCTTGAAGCTGAATACTGAGTTATGAAGACATCAGAAAATATTTGGAACCCAGCAGTCGTGGAATCATCGTCGCTACCGCACTAGGATGTGGATACCAACCGCGGAAAACCCACAATCTACCCACGAGCTCGATATTATGGTGCGTTGGTTTCGCCTAGCATTATCCGAATTGCAAAATTTATGGCTAGTGTAGCAAATGAAATTCGTAGAAACATCTGGTATACCACATTCCAAGAGAACGCGTATCGCATCGACTGCTGTGATATTGTCCAATACCGCTATGTAAGGGGAGTACGCACGCCCTATCTGTCTCAGCACTGGACCGAGAGGCAATCAATCTTGGTAGAGATGCACTGTCATGCACAAAACCTCCTGCTCGCGGAAACACAGATAAAACACGAGGATTGAAAGCCAACGTTGGGGCATGATGGGGTATATTTACGAGCGGAATCAGAACGTGGTAACTCCGCAAAGATGACTAGTATTTGGATTGAGCGATGCTGTACAGGACTAGTCTCTGAACTATCTTCGTTTTGGTCGCCCTCAAGAGGCCAATTGCTGTTATGATGTAACGGATGTACACGCGAAAACCCATATAAGACGCTCAGAATGGTCGCTACTTAGGTAAGCTTTAACCTTGTAAGAAGTCAGGTCCAGCAAGCATATATCCTCTAGTACTTTCTATACGTCTGTCTATCACTCCAATCAGAACTAACGTCCAAGACCTCCTGTGCATATCGCATCTCAACGTATGCAGCTTCCATATATCCGAGACTCGCCACAACGTTAGGAAAGTCATACATGTACACTTGGTAGTATCTTGCCCGAGTCTTGCGCGACGGTTGTGTGGTATAGCCACGAGAATATGGTTTGCGGTCGAAGTCCGCCGTCCAGAAGTGCTGCAGAAACATTTGCAGAAAGAGTTTTATATTCGCCTTTCCGTAATGTACGAGTTCGGTGTACCAGCTTTGATCGGAGAAAGACGGAATCTTAGACTTGACGACCTCGTGTCTTTGGTAGAGATATTCAAAATACAGCGTCTCGAGTTGCGATAGTTTGAGCAAGCCCTGGGCTAGAGATTGCCATGAGCCATCCGTCAGAGAAACGGATGAGAAGCGGACGTCCTTCAGGGTTTTGGTGTGCCGCTTAACGAAGCGGCGGAGCCTGCTTCCACTCACGTAGGCCTTTTTCATAGAGAAATAGGTCAGGTGAGGAAAGTTCGCGGTCACAATATGCTTGAACACCGCGTCGCATCCGTCGCAGAGCCTTAGCATGGGCATCTTATCGCATCCAACGATTTCAAGATGGGTGATCTCGTTATATGCTGCAAGAAATCCGGAGAACTCTCGATAGCTTGGCTGATATCCTTTGAAGTGGTAGCCCTGGTTGCCGACCTGTCTTTCCTTCTTCTTTGCCAGCTTCCTATCGAGCGGCGTCCCACTCTTAAAAGCCGAGTCGGGCGCTTTGATGATCAGACCTTTGGTATATGGCGCGCATTCCTCTGGGGAATTTGTAACCCTACGATAGTCTGATATGACGACAGGCTGCGCTAGCACCTCGAAGATTGCGATCTCGCGTGGAAACTCACTTGCTGCTAGAGCAGCGGGAACAAGACCGTACAAGTTGCGCCCGTGAACGGTAATCTCCGATAGCGCAGGGGCGTCTTTCAAGTTCCGAAAACATTGCGCGAGAAGGTGTACCGTCTCGCTAGACTCCAAAGACGTCGTTATATCGTCGAAGATCTGCCCTCGAAACGCGGCTTTAGCCTAAGGCGTGGGAAATTGGCGTCAGTAAGTGTGTCATATGTAGTTGGTACGCGGAGATCCCTCACCCAATCAGCCGTCAAGTAGTCTGGCGAAGCTTCCTTCTCATAGGGAGACTTGAGTATCAATGTTCGGATCCGCTTGGAGAAGTCGGGGATCTTGGTGATGTGAAGGAGGGCGCAGAGCCCGTTATGGCTGACTTCGATGTCTAGCTGCTCCAAAAGTAGCCCGTATCTCACCGACGCGTCGTACATGGTCTTCGAGTACAACTCTCGACAAGTTATACGAAGTGGTAGGAACTCCTCATCGTTGCAGTAATGAGTGAAGCCACCGCGTTCATCCTGGATCATTCCAAGATGACGGCAGATTCTGCTGATGATCTCGGCGGGTAGTGATGATAACGACATGAAGTGCTATCTGGTGGGTATACTCCGAGGACTCGTGAGCGACCGCTACCGAGCGTGCAGGGTGGTCGATCGAGAAGCCAAGCAGAGTAGGTCGAGGCGTAGACGTGAGCGCCTTATGACTCTGTTTGACAGTTCCAAGACTTATGTAGGCATGAGTACCCGTTGGGCGCTAGGCTCCAGGTACTGTTATGTACGGCTATCATTCACTATTCATTGGCACCACTCACGTTACGCAATGAAAAAAAAAAACGATTCTCTCGGTTTCTGTATACCAGACACCGTTCCGTATGTATTGATTTAGTACTGGACGGGTCCGCATGGTGAGAAATGACTTGTGTGGGCTCCACGATTGTCGCACCGTGCGATACGAGGCTGGCCATCGCACGAGGACGACGACAGGGTTCCTGAAATTGCATGTTGAAGTTTGGAGAGGTCGGTAGGTTAGAGTGAAACTTGAAAATTCGTAGTCGTGATTTCGCTACCGCACTTGGATGTGGATACAAACATCTGAACACTATAATTTCGCGCGCTAATACAGAGATCTACTCTTCAAATGAATCAATGGTGTAGAGGGGTTGATCTGGCAATGATATATCGTCGTGTAGGAAATGCTGTGATTTCGCCCAAAAGGTCGTGAAGAGTGACGTGTGCACCTCATTCAACAGCTACTGCGTTATCACACCTCCTTCCTTTTCGTCAAGGCATCTGGTACTTCCTCCTTACCAGATGACTAGTCCAGTATCTCTTCCGCGTATCGTTCAATCGCGTAGGCTGAATCCATTCCAGCAGGCGTCATCACCACGTCAGCGAACGAATACATGATGACCTCATGGAAACTTGGTCGTGTCTTCGCAGCAGTGACAACCCTTCCAATTCCCCTAGTTTTTTTGTAGTACTTGCGCGTGCGGAAGTAATCCTCAAAGTTCTGTAGATAGTACTTGACGTTCGAGGTTCCCTCCCAAGTACAACTATCGATACAGAATGGTCTGAGTTCTGTCTCGGACAGAGAATCACTCCCAAGACGAGGTACTGCATGCTTTTGGAACAGAAGAGCCTAGTGTAGCATGTCTAGCTTTGGAAGCTTGTATAGGCCTTGGGCGATCGAGCGCCATGACCCATCCGTTAGCGTTACGAATGTGGAATCGAATTCCTTCAACGTGGCTGAGTGTTGTTTTATGAAACGTCGAAGTCGACTGCCGCTAATGTAGATTGCGTGGAGACTCAGCCTGGTGATGTTGGAGTAATGTGTAGTAGCAACGTGCCTAGAAAACACTGCATGGCAGCCGTCGCAGAATCTCAAGCGAGGATGGGTCTCGCATCCGTCCAGACGAAGGGTCTCGATCTGACTGTGATTTGCGATGAGTCGGGACAGATTTGTGTGATCAGGTTGATAGCCCTTCAAGTGATATCCATGTTCGTTCCACCTTTTGGCGTCCTGAATTATCTGCTTGATCTCGGGACGTAGAAACATGTAATGTAAGGTTGGGGTGCTAATTTCGATACCCTTGGTGTATGGTGAGCAATCCGCAGGATTTACCATCAGAGTACGATGATCAGCGTTACTGAGGTTTTCAGGCTGTACTGTGAAGACTGCCTTCTTCCTTGCAAAGCCGCTCCTCGCTGAAGCGGCATGTATGAGACGGTGCAAGTTCGTAGTCCGTACTGGAATCTCTTCCAAAGAAGTCGCTTGCTTCAAGTTACGGAAGCATGCTGCTAGCAGTTCAACCGCTTCAGGGGCTTCTAAGTATGTCGAAATCTCTTCGCGGCGCATTTCACGGGTCGGAGACAATCCCCATGGAATATCGCAGTCGTCCGCCGTGCTTGTCACCCTAGGATAATAGAACAGCACTCGCTTGATGCGGTCGCGAAAAACTGGTATTTGAGTTATGTGCAATAGCTGGCAGAGTCCCTTGTAGTCGACGAATATCTCGAGCTCCTCTAGCAATAGTCCGTACCTAACCACGGCGTCGAAAGTAGTCTTCGCGTGAAGGTTTCGGCAGGTGAGGCGGAGCGACTGCAGGTCATCGTTATTGTAGTATACGAAGCCCCCTATATCGCGCTCCAGGCCAAGGTATCGGCAGGTCTTGCTGATGATCTCCGTGGGTAGGGATAGTAGAGACATTCCGAGTCGACTAGAGGAATGCGGTTAAAGCCTACGTTGGTCCAAAAAGGTGCGAAGCTTGAGTGTTGTCGCTGATGTAGGCGTCTAGCGGTGAGGTAGATGCGCGAAGCTTGAGTGTGGTGACTGATGTAGACTCCTGGCTGCGCAGGCGGAAGCCCCGTTCAATCGGTTGAAAAGTATCTATCGCGAGCGACTGATAGAATCCCACGGTGGTGTAGAAAGGCGGCGAAATCCGGGGTTGCTTGCTGGTGTAGCCAAACGACTGCGTGGGCAAAATTTTGCAGTGGCGAGGCGGAAGGTAGAAGTACGAGAGACGCAGAGGATGGAAGTGAGAGAGAAAGCAGCAAACGTATGTGATGGCGCTAGTCCGCTTGCAGCTTTGCGCGTAATACTTGACGCAGCGCCAATTCCAGTCCCAATGGCAAAATACACGCGATTTCACTAATAGTCTTTCATTATTTTGATGCATCTATCGCCCAAGCGTTGCAGTACTAGTAAACTACTCCTCCGGCGGGTACACAACAATACGATCAATATCCGCGCCCTTAACATCCTGCCCATTATCCAGCCCACCAATAGTAATAGTGTTGTGACTTCCCTTCTCCAAGTTCAACATGAGCGGCGTGCTCAAGATAATACCCTTGTGCGTGTCCCTCTGGTACAGCGACTCCACCTCTTCCGTCTTGTTGTTAACAATAACGCTCGAGATGCGGCGAAGCTGCCAAGTCCCATTGATACGATCGGGCGAACCTCCAGGCTGGTCGCCGAAGCCCATGTCGTCGGTGTTTTGGTAGTAGAATGAGACCCACTGGGGTTTGCCTGTGCCTTCGATGTTGGAGAAGGTGACTTTGCTGTCGTTGCCGTAGATGCCGGTGACGATGACGCCGTCGCTGCCGAAGGTGGCTTCTTGGTGGTATGCGTCGCCGGTGGTGGTGGCGTCTTTACCGTAGTAGGTAGTGCCGTTGATGGCTGTGACTTCTCCGGTTTTCACGTCGAGGTCGTAGACGTCGTACCATTTCAGCTCAACGGACTTCTTCTCTTCGTCAATCTCAAGCGGTAGCCAGATGTATCTACTTTCCCAGAGACTGATAGAGTCCCATTGATCGCCCATGTACAGGTATGTTGTCTTCTTGGTGCCGTTGATCCGAAGGTTCAATCCTGACTGCGAGTTGAACGTGCGGGTGTTAAGCGGTGCGATTATGAACGGTTGAGACCAGGGGCCAGAAAGAGAGTCGGCGCGGAAAGCAACCACGTCTGGAAGTGGTCAGCATATGATGTAGACATCCGATGGGTCAAGATACTTACTGTTTGGGCGGTAACCCGTCTTGTGCGACATCAACGCGAAGTAGCTCTTGTCGGTCTGCACGATGGTTGGTGCTTCGAGGTCGTATTTGTCGAAACGGTGAACGACTTCATCAAGAGCAGTAATGTTCTCGTTGAAGGATGTCAGGTAGACGTCGCGTCCTTCCCTGCGGTCACCATTGGAGTATAGCGAATACGCGCGGCCGTCTTTCTGATCGACGAATAGACCGAAATCTTGTGACCAGTTCCCAAGTGGCGCTGTAGCATCGACGAAGCTGTAGGGGCCGGTGATGTTGTCCGAGACCGCAAGACCTTGCAGAAGCTCTCCGTAGGTGGAGTTGTCGGCGTGCCACCACATCTATTAATGTTTAGCAAAGCTACAAGCAATGCCTGGGCGAGGTGCTTACATGGTATTGACCGGTGCCCTCGCTGAATACAACCTTCGGTCGTTGAATGATGTCCTCGGGCGAAATGTAGGGATGGCCCTCGATGGGCTCCAGGGCCAGACCGTGAGGCTCCCATGTCGCAAGGTCGTCGGAGCTGTACACGCTAACACCACCACCCTCTTCCTGTCCCTCGATCTTGTACTCGCCAAACCAGAAGTACTTGCCCGTCTCTTGATCCACAGTAATGCCACCAGCGTGCGCATTCACAAGAGTGTCATCGGTAGCTCTCCAACGCGCTCCCGGAACGATCCATTTGGCAGAAGCAGTCGCTGCAGCTAGCAACAGCTGGCATGAAAGCGTGTTGAACCCCATTGCGATGTGATGCGATGGCGGACTGGGGTGACGAACATTTTTTCGTACATGGCTGTAGACCTCATATAGCCGGTTGCAGAAGCATGGATGTTTACCAGCCAAGCGGCTCCGGATTCTAATCACCCGAGCATTCAGGAACCTAAGCCCTGGATATCATCTTGCGGGGCTCCGCACCTATTCGCGGAAGCGATCGTCGTATTTCTCCAGGTTTTGGGATGGCCCGCTACCGCAATTCGGTTTGGTCAATTCGGATGTCGGAAAAACCAAGACTTTGAGCTGGCTGCCAATGATGAGGGGATGTCGCCGCATGCACATGTCACGGACAATCTACTCGATCGAGCATTCTTTCCGGATTGCCGTAGGTTGTTGTGCCTTCGGAGACATGGGCCAAGGGCTGGTGTTGAGGTATTTCGCGATGAAGAGAAGAGCTTCGGGGTAGCTGGAGATGAAGCTCGCAGCTCGCTTGCGGAGGCTGCTGACGTCATCATGCCCGAAAGCTCACCTGCCGTGCCGCCCGCAGTCAATTTGCTCACCAACAGTCAAATCTCTGTTAGGACTTTAGCTATGCTGATACTCAGGTTAAAAGACGAAGCTTTCTATTGGGCTTCTAGATGATGACTGCGATGCAGGTACACATTCCAAACACCTCGAACGCTGTTCAATGCAAGTCTGGTCCTCTTCGGCGGCATCACGCTCCGTTGGTGCGCGCATTTGACAC